TACTAACATTTGAGAGAAACGCTCGCAGCAAATTTTTTTTTTTTGTGCAGCCTGTCTCTGCTAGAAATGATCTGTTTTGTCTGAAACGCATCCTTTTTTCCCCCTCATGAATTTTTCCATTTTGATCAATTTTTGGAGGAACGTCCCTTGTCGTGCAAACAAGTTTGGCAAACAGTCGGCTAAAAAAAACCAGGCTCATTTGCATTTTAAAATTGACAGAACCGTTTTAGATGCGTGTATTTCAAGATTGAACACTATTATAAAGCAAGAAAGATTCCCCGCGGGAATTTCCTCGAATGCAAATATTTCAATCTTGATGTATAATGCCTCGGACTTCAAGGCATTACTTTTAAACTTTCGTGGCAGATTTGCAATTCATGACCCAGTTTGCATTTACTTCTGAAAAGCTGCATTTCTAAACAACCTACTCAATCCTAGAGGTGATGGGATCAAGCTACGTGAGTCGTTTGTCGACCCTGGTCAAATTTTTTTATTACAGATTTGAAAAGAGCTTAATCTCGGCATTACTGCTGTGAAAACCGCATGCTGATACCATCTTTAATCAAAAATTATGGAAGTCGGAACACCAAGAGTTGAGAGAAAGTGATGTGATGAAGTGGCCCTATTTTGGTCTGTATCTCCACATAAAAATTCCCGACATACGACTCATTTAGCTTGATCGCATCACAAATGGTTCCCATTCTATTTGAAAAACAACCAAAAATAGCATCTATTGGGCTGAAATTCATTTATGCAAAGAAATAATCCTTATATAAAAAATAATATATATAAAATCATTTATAGAAAATTAATAAATCTTGTCCTATCAGAGAAAGTGGTTAATGTCAAATCTATAAAGAAATCTATTAGGCTTACAGTCAAATGCAAAGAATCAAACATAAAAATCACATTTACAAATCCTTAAATGTGGCATCTGACAACACCATATATTTTTAATTTAAATTTTAGTTGACAAACAGTACACATGTAGTCCCGAGTTCTGTTGACGGTATTTCGATGTACTTATACTGTATTGAGTGCAATGCTAGTTGCTTAACATATTTAATGTACCAGCATTCAACTCGAATGCACTTTTACCCCTGCAAGTTTGATCAAAATTGCAAGCATCGATCCCGTGAATAGGGGCAGTTTTGCAGGGGCAGATTTGGTCAATAAATAAAGCTGTATCTGGGCCAGTGGTCGTCAACCCAGCTGTTTATTCATTCGTGCCGGGGACAAGAGTGTGAGAGGCGCAAGTAATGGGTTAAGCACAAAATGATTACCAGCCAAAATGCCATACAGTTGACACTGCATGTAACTGGTTCCCAACAGATTTTTGCAAAGGGTGTCGGAACATAGGGGTGTCGGAACATTGGGGTGTAACCATTCATTTTAACTTGCCAGGCCATAAAAAAAAATTGGTTAGGCCAAAAAAAAAAATAAGTCGGTCTCTGGTCAGCGCGCGCGTCGATCTTTTTTTTTCTCCAAAATGTTCCGCGGTAGCTCCAACAGCGCCCTCTATTTCCGCACCTCAATTTAATTTTTTTTTACCAAAGAGCACCGAGGAATGGGAAATTGCACCAAGGCAAATGATCGAAAGCACCAAGGCAAATTATGGAGGACACCAATGTACATGAGGACACCAAAAAAGCAAAATAGTACTCGACCTTGTCTGTACAATCCAAGCTTGAAGGAAAAAAAAAAAAAAAAAAAAAAAAAAAGAAGCTGCGTGGCCGCGTCCATTCCGGAACTTTGGTCTGACCAGAGACCGAATATTTTTGTTTTTTGGCCTTAGCTGCAGAAGTACAATACAATTTTAACGGAGCATGTCAATAATCTGTGATTCACGTCAACTATGTCGTTATATTTCACCGGCCTACTTTACATGTACATACCTAGTGTACAGACATTCCTTTGTCTTCTTGAAATTCAGAAGAAAGAAAAACAGAGAAAAAAAACTCATTTTACTTGCACTGTGAGTACTCTTAGTCAACCCAATGTTTTTATCATAATTTCCTTGAGTGTTCCTCTTCATTTTGCGACGGATAACCCTAACCACAAAATGTCTCTAAACCTGTTTTCCAGAGAGGGGGGAAACCTTGTGTGGACCTGGCTTAGTCCACAAACGGTTCACACAACCTGCATTGTGTGGACCTGTTTTGTTTTCAGGTCCACACAAAGATGGCAAGGTTGGCACTACCTTATATGCTTTGTGTGGACATTCCTTTGTCTTTGTATAGTTAAGAAAAGCTGTTTTCCAGAGAAGGGAAAACCTTGTGTGGACCTGGCTTAGTCCACAGAAGGTTCACACAACCTGCATTGTGTGGACCTGGGTTTTTTTCAGGTCCACACAAAGATGGCAATGTTGGCACACCCATATTTGCTAAAAGCAATATGATCTATGATTGTTCATGTTGTGTATTTTCAAGTGTAAGATTTCCAAGATTTCCAAGATTTCCTATTCCTTACATTTACTTCCAAGCAGCGAACTCTTTCCAATTAACAGACTTCCGGATGATCCATCTGGAGCAGTCAACAACTGAGTTTGTTTATTTCACCTGACATGGGTTTGATATTTTTCAGGTGGCCTGAAAAGTGGCCAACACCCAACCCCCCCCCCCCTTCCGGCAAGATTTAAGCTTTGTGTACGTCTACTGATACTAAAGATGAACCCTACTCAGAGTAGAATATGTCTTGAGGTCCTCATCTGGGTGTGAGGATGAACGGATCGATGTGCTGTCAATGAGAGAGTTCTCTCGCCTCCTCGAAAAAACACACCCACAGCCAGAATTTCTTTTCACTCGCGTAGCATGTCAGGCTTTCCTTCAAGCACTCAAACGGAAAAGTCTGTAGGGATACAGTGGAGGAGTGGGCGATTGCCACTTTGTTTTTCTCTTTTTGTTATTTGGATAGGGCAGGCCTCAAGTAGTCGAGAGAAAGATCTTGTATCCTGCAGCAGGCTGAAGCCTTTTTATTTGGGTTAATTTACAACGGAAAGGACGTCCTTGTGGAATGGGGCGCATCCTTTTATTGTTTGAGGAAAACATCACCCATTAGTTCATGTACTATGTTGTGTTACATTGTAGTTATTCCATGGTGTATCTATAAAGCATAGGCATAGCCAGAGGGGGTGTGGGGGGGGGGGTGTGTTAAGTGGGTATTTACCCGCCAATATTTTGTAAAGACTGCCCATTTCCATTCAAATGCCCTTTGTTCACCAGGGTTTAACCCCTCCCCCTCAATAATTTGTAAAGAGTGCCCTTTTTTTAAGAAGTGCCCTTTTTTTCTCTGAATTAGTGCCCTTATAAAGAAGAGGTGCACTTTTTTGTGCCATCGGCAATTCCGGGTGCCTTTTTTTATTTTTTAGTTTACGCATGTATCGCCCTGAAAAACACCATATATTGTCCGTTAGTGTGCATAAATGTCGGTTTTGAACAGCGCCCCCATCGACAGATGATACCAGGCCCCCCCCCCCCCTTTAATTTACGGAGGCCAAGTGTCCAGAGAAAAAAACGTGTCCACGGATGTGCAAGTGGCCTTTTCAATAATTTTTTAACTCCCCCCCCCCCAAAAAAGAATGACCGTGCTACGCCACTGTAAAACCGTACAGTGCTGGGGTTGTTTGAGGCGGTACAGGGAGTAACAGGCAGGGCGGTTTTGGGGGGTACAAGGAGAAATTGGCAGGGTGTTTTTTTTGGGGGGGGGCAGTACAGGGAGTGACAGTTACATGTAGGATGGTTTTGGGTGGTACAGGGGGTATAACTGGTAGGATGTTTGGGGCGGTACAGGATGTAACAGGCATGGCGGTTTGGGCGGTACAGGGAGTAAAAGGCAGGGTGGTTTGGGGCAGTACAGGGAGTGACAGCCAGGGCGGTTTTGGGCGGTACAGGGAGTAACAGGCATTGCGGTTTGGGCAGTACAGGGAGTAACAGGAAGGGTGGTTTGGGCAGTACAGGGAGTAACAGGAAGGGTGGTTTGGGGCAGTACAGGGAGTAACAGGCAGGGCGGTTTGGGGCAGTACAGGTAGTAACAGGCAGGGTGGATTGGGGAAGTACAGGGAGTAACAGGCAGGGTGGTTTTGGGCAGTACAGGTAGTAACAGGCAGGGTGGATTGGGGAAGTACAGGGAGTAACAGGCAGGGTGGTTTTGGGCAGTACAGGGAGTGGTTGTAACATTTGTACTTATATGTTCATAGATACACAGTGTGGTTTAAATTGGAAAAACATCTCTGCTAATGTATTTGAGGAACAAATTAGCAAGCGCGCACCTCAAATCCCTTCATAAACAGGTGTAGATTAACCTCAGTGACAGCGTACAGTTTAAATTACTCTGATATCCCCGTTGGCAGGATATTTGTTTAATCAAGTAACAAGTTGATTTTGCAGCCCGTCACAAGTGCCGTAAACACTTCAAACTGCGACAGGATATCTGCCACGTGTGGATGCCGGCACGTGTCAGAGTACCGTCCGTCCCATAGACACCTCCGCTGATTGTCTGCTCCCCTTCCGTTGAAAAAATGAGAGGAACCTTGTAGCAATTAGCTTGTTTACAACTAAATTGTTGAGCAATTTCCGTCTCCTGCACTTAACAAGGTGTTGTTCCCCTGTAAAGTCTTATGGATACGAAGGCGATCTTACTAATATTTGGCCAAATTTGCAAACTTGCTTCCAATGGATACTTTACCTTAGTCCTCCAGGCCCAAGTCCATCATACTCCATCAATATTTAGTCAACCAGACCTGCAGGACCAAGTCCCCCCAAATCCACACAAATTGGGGGATGGATTTTGATGGAGATTGGGATCAGTTAGGGTTAAAAGACAAACTAATCAATTTTTTTTCTTTCTCTTCGGTTTTCTCTACTTTCCCCATTCCACTCCCTTCCTCTCCATCCTCGTTTGGTGGGCCTCTGTCTCTCACTTTCATCCTTCTCATCATTTTCCTCTCAATTGCACCTCCATCCCGTCTTGCCATCCCTCCTCTTTTCCCCTGACCATCACAGCCGGCCTGGAAGCCTTCCGGAAGTTCCTCCAGACGGAGTTCAGCGACGAGAACATCGAATTCTGGCTGGCCTGCGAGGAATACAAGACCCTTGACACCAGCGTCTTGGAGAGGAGAGCCCAGCAAATATTTGAGGACTACGTGACGATACAGGCCCCGCGTGAGGTGAGATCTATGCTCGTCTTGGGTTTCATCCTTATAGCCTTAATCTTAAACCTCTTCAGCTTTGAGCTAAGAGCTGTGCAGATTTACAAAATATTCACATATTTGATAATCCACCAAATATTCGAATAGTGGTGTTTTTTTTCTGATTCAAATGTCTGAACAATTTGAGAGGTTTCAAGGAGATGTTGAAAAACATCCTTGATGTTATTCAGACCGCATGAATTTGCAAGGTTTTGTTGTTCGTGAAACGCCTCATTTTTGTGGAAAGCCACTTTACCCACATCATTTGAGATCTTCTGTGAGGAATATTTGTTACAGTCATATATCAGCGATTCACCTTTTCAAACAATATTTTGATACGTACCCGATGTTCTTTGCATTGTTTAATAAGCTATTTGTCAAGTTCTGACCTGGCTTGCGATTGGCTTTTGATAGACTTGTGACTAGCTCGTGTTTTGACTTTGTGATTTGATTTTAGGTTGGCGTATTTTTGACTAGTGATGATCATATGATATAATCAACTTACCAAAATGATTGAATTGTGATTTGACATAAGATTGACTTGCAATTGACTTGTGATTGACTTGTATTGAACATGCAAATCCTGTGTAATGAACATATGATTGACTTGTGATTGACTTGCGATTGACTTGTGATTGACTTGTGATCGACTTGCGATCGACTTGTGATTGACTTGCGATTGAATTGCGATTGACTTCTGATTGACTTCTATTTGACTTTTGATTGACTTGCGATTGAATTTTGATTGACTTTTGATTGACTTGTGATTGACTTGTGATTGACTTTTGATGTACTTGTGATGGACTTGTGATTGACTTTTGATTGACTTGTGATTGACTTGTGATGGACTTGTGATTGACTTTAACACACTTTCACCCTCATGCATTTCTTCATTTCTGTCTTTCATTCCTGTTCATAGGTCAACTTAGATTCCAGAACACGGCTAGAAACGACCGCCAACGTGAACCATCCTGACGAGAACACCTTCGACCACGCCCAGAAGCGGATAGAAGCCCTCATGGAGAAGGACTCGTACCCGCGGTTCTTGCGATCGGACATTTACCAAAAACTTCTAAAGGAATTCATCAAAAAGTCCAAATGAGGCTCGTTAATAATGTCATAGTAAAACTGTTCATCTTTTAAAAAATAAAGTACAATATAGTTCATGTTCGTCGTGGACACGGAGAAAAACGGGAACATTTTTTTTGTGCGGATGCAAAACTCAAGTGTACAGAGATTATATATTTCAGTGTGTACTTGACACGGAGTCCTGAAATTGGAACGGGTATCCGTCGGAAACCGGAAAGAATTTGTCTCGTGATTTGTGGCTGATGAAAACACCAAATGCACGATACTTTTTTACATGAAGTCCACAAGAGTTGTCTAGAGCCAAATATAAACTTGTCAGTATTAGAAGTGTGTCGCCTCTGCCGTAGCTGTAGAAAGGTGAAGGAGTTTCACCCCGGCTGCCGCGGATAATACCGCCAACCCTGGATCAAGCGGAGATACGAGCCCCAAAGGGCATCATCAAGTCGTCAGAGTTACCATGGCAACCTGTTTAAACATTCAATGCCAACGACAGGCGGAGCACGGGTAGTAACCGAGGAAACACGATATTCCCGGGACGGTGCTCCCACAAGAGGAGAACATCTCAAGAAATGCTTTCAAAAAAAAACTCGCGGAGAATGAAAAAAAAGCAAAGTCTTTTCAAGTTTCTGCCGTTGACCTGTATGCGTCTTCTCAGCTTTCTCCAAGGCTCATTCCTCAGACTTTTGTTTCCCGAGCTACGCTATCCTCCGAGGGGAATGAAGGCCCCAGACATCAAGGGACACTAATATGACACCTCATAGAATGTCATCAAAGTCTTGTTAATAGCTTGGCACTCCTTTTATGTTCTTTACCCGTAAAATCTTTGATTGTTCATGTTAAAGGTAGCCGAATTCTTAACACGCACAGGAAATCAACATAATTTGATATCTTGTTGACGGGATGGCGAGATCATTGTTTTTGAAATATAAAGAATGAATCTTGAACAAAGTAAAGATATTTTAAAGATGTTTTCAACATAGCACTGGATAGCTCAGTTGGTACAGCACGGGTACGGTAATCCGGAGGTCGCAGGTTCAAACCCCGCTCCAGTCAATTTCATTGTTCAACTTTATAGTGAGAATCTTGAAATGGGGTTGCCATCTCCTTACAGATATTTCTTTAACATTTCATGGATAAATCTAGGAAAGCCAGTAGGACATTACAAGATTTAACATGGTTCCTAATCTTGCAGTATTTAAATGCCATCTTTTTTGGGGGTCAGTAATTTGGCTGTGGAAAGGGTTTTTTGTGAAATGGAATGTCGGATGATGACATTTGGCACAGTGTTAAAAGTGTGTGAGATTGCAAATGCAGCTTTTAGTTAGATAGCAGAATTATTATAATTACAAGAACGTCAGTGATTGAGGTTTAATCGTTCACATTTTCTGTCCAACAAATATGGAAAAATCTTTTTTTTCCAGTCAATATTAGTACTACCATGGAACGTCTGTCACTCTATTATTACTACGTTTTTGCCTCCAGTCAAATTTCAATAAAAAAAATTAAAAAATTGCTGGAAAAAAACAGGAATGTACCGTTACCATGGTGAAGTGCAGAACAGTCATGGCTAATTCATGATATTTGACAACTCAAATGTTGATTCAAAAAACAAAACAAAATCCGAAGACAGCAAATTTGCACAGCTGTTGAATTTCTCCATGCAGTCTTTTAACTGCATTTTGATTTATAATTTTTTTCTAAAAGTCAAACCCAACTCTAGATCTTTGCCTGTACACAAGCACGTCTCATTTTTGTCTACCACAAAAGATGATCAAAATGTTCTCTTTTTTTTTATTGACAAGAAACTGATTTGCATGCTCGTGTATGTTTGAAATTTCGACCCTTTATTAGTGACCGCACTTTGCACAAAAATAATCCAAACACTTTCTCTATAAATCATCACCAAAAAAATGTGCAACTTTTTGAAAGCTTCATAACTTAAACTGTATGATAAGATGTTACAATCCTCGAACGAACTGGATAGAACAGTTTTTAGAAAGCACCAGAAAGTACTTAAACACGTATTAATATGTATTTTTGCACACAGGGTAGTAGTTTTTGTCACAAAAATGCACACAGTAAAAAGACAAAATTTGAACAATGTAGAAAGTGACAGCATTGTGACAGCATTGCACATTGTGTAATGCTTATGTGTAAAAGCCGTTACTTATGCAATTGAATAAGATTTTGTTAAAAGCTGCTGCTAGGCTTAAAAGACGAGAACTTTGGACGAACAGTCCTACAAAATCTCTCTCTTTGAAGCTAAAATATTGTTACAAATATAATTTTTTTATGAATATGGATACAATTATATACAATTAATTTGTGATTGACTCAGTTATTTTAAGTCTTTTATTTTTTATTTTTGCCGTGATTGAAATCATCATGATCAACTCAGAAGTTTTTCCCCTTAATTTTGCCGTGAGGTTCCGTTAGACATGTAATATTTATTCCAGAGAACAGACAAGTTTTAAGATTTAACTTTTTTAGATTTCTGTGTACATGTATATAATTGCGAATAGGTGTATATGAAAAAAACAAACGATTTAGTGTACAGTGTGTATATGAAAACAAACAAGTATAATGAAATGAATTTTTTTCCACTTTTCTTTATTTGGTACATGTATTTTGCTCATAGCTTGCATTTAATCTAAGAGTTGCGGTTTATTTTTACCAGTTGCATCAGGAGTTTTTCTCATGCAAAACAGATAGATAATGCCCTGCAAGAATTTGTAAATTTCTCTTCGCCACATTCAGTGTTACTGTTACATTGTTACCATTTTGGTCAAACCAGGCGGAAATCTCACGGAGCTGATGAGCACAGTTATCTGCTAAGCGCGGACAATATTTTGCTTAACAAAAAAAGACAGGTTACCAGTAAAATGTAATTCTTCGTGTATTGATTATGGTTGGTCCTGCGCTGATTATTGCTAAGCGCATACATTTGCTAAATGTATTTCCCGAGTAGATCCATTTAAGTCCCGCCCACTGCGTGCCTCTCCATTGATTTGCATGTTCGAGACGCGCGCGTAGTGCGAGTGCACGCGCAGTGGACCATGTTCGTGGCTGTGATAGGTCAAAACATCGTTTGGTGAGGCTCTTGGGTCCTGATTACTTAACTTCATTATTATAGCTCACTTTAGCTGACCATTTGAAAGCCCTACAAAACACATGCATGTCTGTCTTTGCCCGTTGCGAAGATGCATAGAATTTACATAATCACCACAGCTGACTCATAAATTGTGAAATTGTTAAAACCAACCAACAACATTGACAAGTCAATGAATAAGATCATATAGCTGCCTCTAAATGTATTCCAAAATATTGTACTATTAGCTGCAATCCATTTTTTAAATATTATCAGCCGCCCTTTTCGGTTTACGCCTGTTTAAATTTGTGTACCACCGCAATTTAATTCCCTTGGGAAAGATTTTATCTTCTGAAAAAATAAGACAAGTGAGTGTATGTAAGATGATAAAAAAAAATAAGTCTATATTTGAGTCGGACATTATCAATTGAGTAAATCAGTCTAGCTTTTTTTATAACAATAAAGTTAGATGCTTTGATGGTGTTGCCCTTTAATTTGAGGGAAAGGATATTTATATATGGCTAATAATTGTTTTCTGGTTGTTTAAGCCCCGCCCACATGCACACGTGACGTGAGCAAGCACGCACGTGCGCGCCCAATGGCGTCTTGACCAATCTCAGCCGTGTGGCAATGCAGCGTGGTGTTGTTACGGGTGCGCGTGCTCTTGCCCACGCGGGCAGTGGGCGGAGCCTGGTGGTCGGTCTATTGCGACCGTGATTGGTCAAAAAAAATCATGCGGCGGGGCTTAATCAATCGGTTTAGTATTACTGTGTATTGGTAATGTTAAGGTATTATCACAATGAACAACTTACGTTGTTTTAACTTCATTAAAATGTTTTGGTTTCTACAATAGATGAAATGGAAACAAAATTGCATCGAGGCCAAATTTCCTTCTTCATTTTTGTACTGAAGAAAAAGAAACAGCTGAAGTCAATTTTATGTATTTTTTGTCGTGTATCGTGACAGCAGCGTCATGTCAGTAATACATAGAAAAGCGTGCAATGGTGGTCACAACATTACGTTTGAAACAACGCTTCCATTTTGAAACCAAAACGTTCGATTGCAAAATAAAAACGTCCATGAATTAAACAATTTAATTTTGTGACCCGGTGTCATATGAAAATCCGACTCCTATGAAAATCGGACTCATTTTCCCTATTATTGGTCAATCTCTCGCACGTGACAGGTCACTTTCCCGTAACGATCCTATAGCATACTATCGTACTTACGCATGCGCAATACTATGATGAGTCCATATTTCATGGAGTCGGGTATTCATTAGTAAAAATCCGGTTCATTAGTAATAGGCCACACACGCACGCCCATCACCACTCATGACTGGCACCCATTGGATAAGAACTCAAGTGGCGTCCAATAGTTCCAATGCTACCTAATGGCCAGTGGGCGTGGTTTAAACTGAATTGAAGTCGCACCAACGAACCGGATAGACGGGCGATCTATTTTAGCCCCGCCGAATGGCACGTGGGAAGCAAACTTCGTGCACTGCATGTTCTTGGCGTGCGCGTCACATTACGCGCGGCGAGCACGCAATGTAGACTTATTTGTGTAAGTACAGTGCAAGGCAAGGATGTCGAACATCTATCTATAGGCTGTGATTGGTCAAGACACTGATAGGCGGGGCTTAATAGATCGTACAATTTGCAAACTAATGATTTGTTTTATCAAAGCCATCCTAAAAAAAATTAACAAATTGCCAATGCTCTTAATTAATGTACAAGACAGTGTATTATATATTTCTCTCGTAAACCCCATAAGATAAAAGCATCTCAGTTTGTTTTACAATTAACTCTCCATATGTACCAAATTATTTTCTTCTGTTACTGAATGTGTTAATATTGTACAGTACATAAGTGTTCTTGCGAGTAAAGAACTGAACATGCAAGAGATCTTTGGAAACATTTCACACAATGTTGTAATAAACCATTTCTCACATAAGAAAATTATTGCCTGTATTACGAAGCATGCTTATTGTGTTCGTTTTCCGTGATAAAAATGTAAATTTAAAGTGAACAAGGGAGAATATTTTTACCGATACTTGCAAGGAAGATGCTCCTCTCACCTCCAAAGGAATGTTTGCATTGTTTTGAGAAAAGTCAATTTTGCTCCATTTTGGTTAAAAAAATAAAGTAAAGCTAACCCCTTGCCTTTTTTTCCCCCTTTTTTTTGGCCCAAAAAATTATATTCCTTCAAACTTGCATGAAATATGCCCAAGAGACCGCAAAACACCTTCCAATACGATTTGTGTACAGGTGTGCTTTTTTACATAAGTAATGACGAAAATTAGGGATAAAATAAGTCAAAAAATGTTTATTGTTTTCTACGATCGTTATTTATCGTCCCTGAGCGGTATACCGCTACGGGCGACCGTTGTTATGTTGAGCGCCCCCAGCGGTACGTACCTCTAGGGTATACCGCTGGAGGCGACCAACAATAGTCGCCCGTAGCGGTATATACCGCTGGGGGCGACCAACAACAGTCGCCCGTAGCGGTATATACCGCTGGGGGCGACCAACACAATCGCCCCTAGAGGTATTCGTAGCGCTGGAGGCGATTAACAGTCGCCCCTAGAGGTACGTACCGCTGGGGGCGCTCAACAATATTCGCCCGTAGCGGTATACCGCTGGAGGCGACCAACAATAGTCGCCCGTAGCGGTATACCGCTGGAGGCGACCAACACAGTCGCCCCTAGAGGTATTCGTACCGCTGGAGGCGACCAACAGTCGCCCCTAGAGGTACGTACCGCTGGGGGCGCTCAACAATAGTCGCCCGTAGCGGTATACCGCTGGAGGCGACCAACAATAGTCGCCCGTAGCGGTATACCGCTGGAGGCGACCAACACAGTCGCCCCTAGAGGTATTCGTACCGCTGGAGGCGACCAACAGTCGCCCCTAGAGGTACGTACCGCTGGGGGCGACCAACAATAGTCGCCCATAGCGGTATATACCGCTGGGGGCGACCAACACAGTCGCCCCTAGAGGTATTCGTACCGCTGGAGGCGACCAACAGTCGCCCCTAGAGGTACGTACCGCTGGGGGCGCTCAACAATATTCGCCCGTAGCGGTATACCGCTGGAGGCGACCAACAATAGTCGCCCGTAGCGGTATACCGCTGGAGGCGACCAACACAGTCGCCCCTAGAGGTATTCGTACCGCTGGAGGCGACCAACAGTCGCCCCTAGAGGTACGTACCGCTGGGGGCGCTCAACAATAGTCGCCCGTAGCGGTATACCGCTGGAGGCGACTAACAATAGTCGCCCGTAGCGGTATATACCGCTGGGGGCGACCAACACAGTCGCCCCTAGAGGTATTCGTACCGCTGGAGGCGACCAACAGTCGCCCCTAGAGGTACGTACCGCTGGGGGCGCTCAACAATAGTCGCCCGTAGCGGTATACCGCTGGAGGCGACCAACAATAGTCGCCCGTAGCGGTATACCGCTGGAGGCGACCAACACAGTCGCCCCTAGAGGTATTCGTACCGCTGGAGGCGACCAACAGTCGCCCCTAGAGGTACGTACCGCTGGGGGCGCTCAACAATAGTCGCCCGTAGCGGTATACCGCTGGAGGCGACCAACAATAGTCGCCCGTAGAGGTATTCGTACCGCTGGAGGCGACCAACAGTCGCCCCTAGAGGTACGTACCGCTGGGGGCGCTCAACAACAGTTGCCCCTAGAGGTACGTACCGCTGGGGGCGACCAACAATAGTCGCCCGTAGCGGTATATACCGCTGGGGGCGACCAACACAGTCGCCCCTAGAGGTATTCGTACCGCTGGAGGCGACCAACAGTCGCCCCTAGAGGTACGTACCGCTGGGGGCGCTCAACAATAGTCGCCCGTAGCGGTATACCGCTGGAGGCGACCAACAATAGTCGCCCGTACTCCGTAGCGGTATACCGCTGGAGGCGACCATCAATAGTCGCCCGTAGCGGTATACCGCTGGAAGCGACCAACAATAGTCGCCCGTAGAGGTATTCGTACCGCTGGAAGCGACCAACAGTCGCCCCTAGAGGTACGTACCGCTGGAGGCGACCAACAATAGTCGCCCGTAGCGGTATATACCGCTGGGGGCGACCAACACAGTCGCCCCTACAGGTATTCGTACCGCTGGAGGCGACCAACAGTCGCCCCTAGAGGTACGTACCGCTGGGGGCGACCAACAATAGTCGCCCGTAGCGGTATATACCGCTGGGGGCGACCAAAACAGTCGCCCCTAAAGGTATTCGTACCGCTGGAGGCGACCAACAGTCGCCCCTAGAGGTACGTACCGCTGGGGGCGCTCAACAATAGTCGCCCGTAGCGGTATACCGCTGGAGGCGACCAACAATAGTCGCCCGTAGCGGTATACCGCTGGAGGCGACCAACACAGTCGCCCCTAGAGGTATTCGTACCGCTGGAGGCGACCAACAGTCGCCCCTACAGGTACGTACCGCTGGGGGCGACCAACAATAGTCGCCCTTAGCGGTATATACCGCTGGGGGCGACCAACACAGTCGCCCCTAGAGGTATTCATACCGCTGGAGGCGACCAACAGTCGCCCCTAGAGGTACGTACCGCTGGGGGCGCTTAACAATAGTCGCCCGTAGCGGTATACCGCTGGAGGCGACCAACAATAGTCGCCCGTAGCGGTATACCGCTGGAGGCGACCAACACAGTCGCCCCTAGAGGCATTTGTACCGCTGGAGGCGACCAACAGTCGCCCCTAGAGGTACGTACCGCTGGAGGCGACCAACACAGTCGCCCCTAGAGGCATTCGTACCGCTGGAGGCGACCAACAGTCGCCCCTAGAGGTACGTACCGCTGGGGGCGACCAACAATAGTCGCCCGTAGCGGTATACCGCTGGAGGCGACCAAAAATGGTCGCCCCCAGCGGTACGTACCTCTGGGGGCGACGTTGTTTGTCGCCCCTAGAGGTACAAATGACCACAGATACCTCTGGAGGCGACCCTTATTGATTATCCCCAGAGGTACGTACCGCTGGGGGCGACAAACAGCGGTCGCCCCCAGAGGTACGCGTAATTTTTTAATTCCAAGGAGGGTAGGGGCAATGTCATGAATAATTCATGTTTATCCATGAGAACGGACAATGACATCAACAGCATTGTCGTTAGTTACTCAACTAGTTACAATACATTAAAGCATTTTAAAGAACGATTGTCGTCGAGCTACCACACAGTAGCCTAGTGGATAGCGAGATGAGCTATGGATACAAAGATCCCTGGTTCGAATCCACGTCGTCGCTGCTCATTTTCATCAGCTATTTTTCTTCTCCAAATTTATCACTGAGATAATTTTAAATTAAGGGGAAAATATAACGAGAACCTAAGTCTTGCAATGATTCAAAGGAAAAACTGAATTATTCATGACATTGCCCCTAACCCTCCTAGGAAAAACAATTACGCCTCTTTTTAAAAAATAAATTACGACGAAAATTAGGGATAAATTCAGGCAAAAATGTTAATTGTTTTCTCCCCAAATCAACATTTTTCTACCCCAAATCTTCAAAAAATTAGGAGTGCGAATTTTAATTGATGCTCCACCAACCTCCAAAGAACTTTCTGCATTGTTTTGAGAAAAGTCCATTTTTTGCCAAATTTGATAAAAAATGAAAGGCTAACCTCTAGGGTTTTTTTGGTCAATTTTGACCAAAAAATGAAATTGCTTCAAACACCTTCCAATGTTATTTGTGGATAGGTTCAAAATACACTGTATTGGGTGTTTGAAAATTGATTGATGCTTACCTCAAAAGGAATGTCTGCACTGTTTTAAGAAAAGTCAAATTTTTGTCCAAATTGGTAACAAAAGTAAGGCTAACCCCTTGCTTCGTTCTCCTACCGATAACTTGAAAAAATGTCGATGTATGGAGTTGAAATTTAGTCTGGGTGTTTTGTGTTTGTGATATATAACACAAGTCTGTGGATTACATGTATTGAGAAAACTGTTCCTCAATATAAACTTATAGCTCGTTTACTGATAAACAATACACTCGTTTTCTGAACGATAACTTAAGTGAATGTTGATGTATTGAGTTAAAATTTGGTCCTGGTGTTTGTTTGTGATATATCGCAAGTCTGTTGATTGTTCAGAGAAATGTTTTAACCGCGAAAACTACAATCCCAGCGAAGGTCACTTTTTATGGGCAAAACAAAACCAACTTAGTCGTTTCGGTCATATTATGTTTGTCGTTCAGTGCTTTTGATTTTTGTTGTATATAATTAAGGGTCGATATACAAGGTGGCCCCTTAACAAAATGCAACCCTGAAACGCTTGCCTTTAAAAAATGTGATCAGTGAATTGCATGTTTTGAATATCAGATTCAAACTGACAGTTTTTCTTTTGAATACTGAAAAATCATGAAAGTAGCACGTTGGGTTTGCTGAGAAAATGCTAATGATGTATTAAAACAACTCCTTTTTGGTCCATTCCAATGGCACTACCGGAGTTAAGAGATTTACACTGTACCTATTCGTGCATAGCGCACTGTCTGCAAACAACACGGCACATAATAATAGAGTACAAATGAATTTGATGGAAATGCCTTCTATTTTGCACCTGAACAAGTACCTTATGGAACATTCCGTCTGTCACTGAATGATTCATTCTTTCCATTGCACGAATGTGAAACATGCACTATTTGTTTTATACAACACTTGAATAAATCCTGATCATCTGATTGGTCAGAGCCACCAATTATCGTGTGACCGTCTATATTTTTGCGGTAGGGCCGGGCCGTGGGTACGGTGGGTACTTGGGACGAATTATTCAATGACAAGTGATCAACGACCCTCCAATCAGATGACGGGGATTTATTCAGCCCTTGTATAATACTAAATATAGCTACACCGTGAGCCAATCATAAGGAGGTATTAAAAACAGGCTTGAAACTTAACGACAGCAATTTATATGTAAAACTAACAGTAACAGGAGGAAAAGAAACAAAACATTTCTGTTATTTTCCCTCGAAAAGGACTATTTGTAGTGAAGATGCTTTTAAAATTAAAACATTGTTTCAATTAACTGTTATTTCGGTTGTGTAAAAATCAGAAGGTTGTGTACTATATGAACCTAGCAACGTTGTGTAAACTGTTGTTCATACAACTTGTGTAAAAATAAATATTACACAACTTATTCAATTATTTTTACACAACTGCATGGTTCATATAGTACACAACCGAAATAACAGTGATGCATAGGCTTACTATCAGGCAATCTTGTAATGAGGTTTCATTATACACAACTGTCACACTCAAATGAATACAGTTGACGAAATCATCGGAGTTAGGGCCACTGGAATAGATATGTAATGAGATCCTACCGCAATTTCTCAAATAGTAGGCTATTAATGTTGTTAAAATCCACAACTTTAATTTAGCCAGGCTATATAGCCAGCTATATCGGTGTCACAAACGGTATTTCGCAACTGCAATTCCGTCTCCTTCCGTTTCCCCAGGCAATGGAATTAGTAAGCTAATCCCGTGTTCAAAACACATTTAAACGGGGATAATATGCCTCAGACTCGCCGTTAACGACGGACGAAAATAGAAAATAATGAGGAATTAGTCCAGTAACTGTTGTCGTCCCCGGTCCATGTCGATGTGTGGGTGGAAAGTGATTCCATAGCCTGGCAATTGGAACCACTGTAGACCCTACGTTATTTTTTTTATTTTTGTGTGTGTGGGGGTAGATGATGACATCATCTACAACAATTCAGATAGTGTTTGTTGGTCAAACGAAATTAAAAATTAAATTGGATGAAGAAAAAGGACTTTAAAAAAACCTGCACAGAAAAGATACAATTGGTGTTATTCACACCAGTTTGAGAGGTTTCTTTTTTAATCTTAGGCATTATAAGTATTTTTGCATGCATGCTACAGCCTTGTTTATTGCATCAACTATAAACTTCTGGCGACAGACCTGCGGTCAATATAACTTTTATTCCCTGCGATATATAATAACAGGTCCAGTCGGCTAAACACGACGTACGTACGCGTGCGGGCAGCTGGCAATATATCTGATCTGACGAATGCTGCTCTGACAAACATCGGTAAATATTTGCAGAGCAGGTTTCGCCTGCAAAACAACCCAAATCTGGTGACTAAAGGGCTAATTTCGACCGCAGTCTCTTTATATTAGTTCTAAATCCACGTACAGAAAGGTGTTTTCATTTTGTAAGCCCTCGAGCATTTGTATTCATTGGATTACACAATCAACGAAAATCAAAACAACTACAGTTCATAATAAAGACGATATTGAAAATAAACCTCTTGTATTTGTGATCACAGCCTACAGTGCCCCTGAATCATGAACTTCAGCAGGCGACTGAAACCCTATCACCATGGCAACAGTGATGTCATTAGATCTAGCTCTAAAAAGGAACAAGGAAAGGGGGCTATGCATGAGGGAGGGAGGGGGGGAGGGGGTGGCGTGGATTGTGATAAGAACCCTTCGTGTGCACAACAGCCCCCTCTGCATGCCTCAGTTCACACGAGAGGGGCAAATTGGGCCCAGGGGCTGAAATTAAACAATATGTGGCGTCTCTCAGTATAGAAGATCCCAGACTAGAACTGTAACAAATAACCTCAGCCAGGACTCAACTGAGATATGTTCCAGTGATCAAAATGATGTGCAGCAATCCTCAACTCTAATTTAGTTTTAAACCCCAACTGATGACATCACTGTTGCCATGGGGATTGTTTACCGATGAGCAAGGTTATGGGTTGTAGGATGGGACCAAAACAAAATGAACATCATCAATAGCCGTGGGGGACCAAGCTATTATGCACATGTAAATCAATGCATATGACGCAGAATTGAAGGCATTTGGCTGTTTTTTTTCCTCCAAACTTTGCTCTAGTTCAAATCAGAGTTGAGATCCCTATGTGCATGTACTTGTATAAGCTATTATTCAGAGTGCTCTATTTGAATAATTTCCTAAAGGGTTACAGTTAATACAGCCTGTTTGGCAAGCTACTTCCAGAGAACTTGTGAAGTGTGCAGTTTATTGGGATTTTTTCCCCAAGTATAATACACGTCTTCTCATCACACGTCAGCATAAGCTTCTCACGACGAAAGATATTAGGAACATGTGATGCCAAATTGAAAGGATAATAGTAAATCAAAAACGTTGAACAACTCAGAAGTGACAAGAAAAGCCTTTATTAATTCTTGAACAAAGAGGGCGCTGTAACGGAATTTTGAGTATAATCAATACTGAGTGATTCAAGGATATTTAAAGTAACAGATTCTTGTTACAGCTCATTTTTTTTATTTAGTTGTTGGCGCTGCCCTTAATTACAGCGCCCTCTTTCGCTAAAAAAAAAATGGCATTTGGTTGGATGCAATTTTTTCAGTTTCTTGAGGGCGCTAGAGACGATCAATGGTCTGCAGCGGAAACTGCCCAATTAACTGTACACAGGAAGCTAATACACAGCACGTTGCGACAGGGGCACCCCCCCCCCCCTAAAAAAAAACCCACCCCATATATTTCCCAATAGGCTATACACACCAAGACTATTACTACCTTGTCCCTTTAGATATTTCAAAGAATTCCTGAGATTCTGGCAACAAAATTACCAACACAAAAGTGGGTTCTATGTCAGCTACGTATGGAATAGCGCCCTTGTGCCAGTGCAAGCAGCGCCCCAATTCGACGTCAACACATTTCCATTCTTGCTTCAGACCGATTTCGTTAATACCCAAGCATCCAGAAAAATAGGGAAGGTACTTGTAGTTAGTTTTCTATTAGGCAGATTGGTTCCAAATAATGGAATGATTCAGTTTGATGATAAAAAGCATGAAATTAAGCATGGAAAAGATATTTGGACATGTAGAGCCATGACCGATTTGTCCTTTGGAGAAAAAAAAAACCAAATCATATGCAATGGCTGCCATTTTAAAAGTTTTGAAAATTGCTTATTCTGTTTTTTCCCCAAAGAAAAATATATGCGACGGTCCTATAGTCAAATATCTTTCCCATAATATTCTGTGTGCCAAATTTCATGCTTTTCTGTACTCGAGACAATTTCGACTTGTAGCCAAACACAAAACTGGTAGTATATGTAGTTAATTTCAACAATCGTCATGCCACACAATCTGTAGTCCACCTAAAAACTCGGGAACTAAAGAGAGGGAAAATTCATAATCTGACAAAAACAACAAGTCAGAAACTAACGAACAAGATTGAACTTCTATTACACTAATCTTTATTATATTGATTAAAAATACACAGTAAAATTAGTAATCAGGGAAAATAACTTTTATACAATAACTTGTGCTAAAATCCGAGGAATAAGCCCACACTCTTTCCTTGGATTAGTCTTAACACAATTCCTTTGAAAAATGAAGAAAATTGAAAAAAGTTTTTAACTAAAATAAATCACAGACTATAAACATACATATCATTGTGACCGTCCGATTTCACATAGTGGCCATTATTTAAATTTCAGCATAAAATACCCTGCAGTGTTTCATACATTCCTGCCCTATATTATATTTACATGTACTGAACAGTCAACGTGATTAGTGCCGCAACAGGATTGACAATTTTAAACATGTTGATAAGAGTGTTTATAAGACATCCTTTTGATTCAATTGGATCGCTGTTAATAAATTTTTGCATCACCGCTACATGACAATTTTAGTGTTTATGATTTGAACGACATAAGGGCCACAGACTGCAAAATCCAATAACTGGCAAAGGAGATATGCCCAAATGAATGTTTGGATAAAACTTTTAAATTAAACTGAACGTGTTCGACAAAAACACCAGTCAATGGACCGAACTTAGAACGTACATTGTCTTTTTTTCAATCGTTAAAACGTTCGAGTTGATTTAGCAACACGCCGGGGCTCTCAGATCCCACAGGGACCAGAATCAAGTGTTAATAGATACAACTTTTGACCAATTGGAACTGACACATGTACATGGTCAATAGAGTTTCGGAAGATATTCTGCGAGGGGCATTTTTTGAGTTAAAACGTCGCTTCCCAGTCATCGAGCACGGTTGTCCTGACCATGGCTTCGGTGACTCGGTATGGGTCGCAGTTGGACGACGGCCTGCGATCCTCCAGGTAACCCATCCCACGTTCTCCACACTTGAAAGTAAAAAAAAAAAAGCAAGAATATTTAGTCTTCGAATTGGAAATCAATTGCAACAATTATACTATGACATTTGTAACAAAATGTAATAGAGCTAAAATATCGGCTCAATGCATTCAAAGTAGAGAACCATGCCCGTCAAATGGAGACTACACTGTACAATGCTTTACAAGGTACGATTTTTACCCCAAACTTTGCAGTCCTTCAAATTTTGACGACCTTTATTAATTTTTTTATTTTTTTGTCTGTTACACCAAGATTTGTGACAATGCGCTAAGGTTGTGCACTTGACCTACGGGTTTATTAATTTTTTCTGATGCAAAGAGACAGATCAAAGTAGGTAGTTTGCCATTCATAATCATTTGTGGAGAACAATTGCATTTTCCCTCCTGCTATTTTAAACAGCTACAATCACACTTCACTTCCCTTCTATACTTTTTAACAAAGGCTAGTCACCAGCAGTCAGATCAAATGTCAAGCAAGCACTGTGACTAGTCAAACAAGGTCAACAGACAGCAGGTAAGTTGTGGTCACAGTGGTTTTATCACTCAACCGGAGTCAAAGCATTGCTGTGTCAAGTTACTCAAACAGTCCCAACCAGTCAATCCTGCTTTATGTAGGCTGGGAAATCACTTGATTGATTTTGACTGAAAGGGGTACTTGTATGTTTGCATAGGAGGATTGAGGAATGGCTTCAGAATTATAAAATCATTTCGATACCAGATGTGATGGAGATGGGGGAAAAAAAAAGTGGACCCAAATTTATCGAATGTCCCATAGTTATATGATTCGACTGTTGGTGACTAGCCTGGGTGAAAAACAATCAGAACTGTTTTAGATTTTTTTTTAACAAGTTACGTTTCAAGGAGTTTCAACCTACCTGACGGGGTATTCTGATGCTGCAGCCACGGTTGGCCACGCCAGAGGAGAAGTCATGAATGCTGGAGGTCTCGTGTTTGCCGGTTAACCGGCGCGCGTTGTCTTCGCCGTCCTTGGGGTCGTAGGCGCGGATGTGTTCCTTGTGGCGCTGGCCGAGCTTCACGATGGCCTTCTGGATATGGCTGAATGAGATTTAGATTCCCATTAACATGACGGGAACTCGTCCACGTACAATGAACAACTAAGCCCAGTGTTAATTACTCCTAACTCCCAGCCTAATTTACTAGGAACTGTACCCATTCTGGCAAATTCCAACACCCACATGGGAAATTGTACACACACACTGTTGGACTTCGTTTCTGGAGATATGCCAACCCCAGTGTAAAAGACCATCAGTTTAGGGGTACTGTACCTATCCAACAGATTTTAACAAAACCTGCTGTTAAACTGGTTAGGGTTAATGTGTCAAAACTTGAAAACTATTCAAGATCGTCAACTGATCAATTTTTTTTTTTTTAAAGTCTTCTGTGCTTAACCCTTCCAAGTTTTGCAAATCTCATTTTTGCCCATTTTTTCTGTGGAGTCCAGGGAATCTTTTATGCGCGTTGCGAACAAGCAATTTTGGTCACGCCTCACTGGTCTCCAACAGTGTTTTTGTTTAGCGTCTGTGTGACACAGTTGCTATACAAACTTTATAGCCGTTCAATTGAAACTTACTTTTAAGGCTTTAAAGGGTTTCACATATTGCTCTGAATACGAACTTCTCACCACGAGCGTTTAAACAGCTCTTACATATTTACCAAAATCTACTAAGCCTAGTGTTTATTTTTGAAAACATGAATTCTCTTCCAACAAATTCAGAACTTCTCAATTAAGTTAAATTATTATGGGGAAATAAAGACACAGATACCCCTACGTAACCTCCTAATGTTGGGATATCTTTTGCTCACAGATATGGATCGCACGACGATGTAACCGCACTTAAAAGGGGAGCAGAAACCAGACTGCACTGCACAAAGTGAAATCTAATCTGAACATAATTCTTAGTTTGTCGACACGTTCAATAATTTGGGAACTTTTTGTAGTTCCATGTGTCTCACTGTAAGGTGAATAACTTTTTAATTCTCTCAAATTTAAACTTCCTGCATTTAAAATGGTCTAGATCAATGTCAACTCACTCGATGCCACCAACTTCTCTCATGGCCTTGGTGCTGTAGTTACAGTGTGCGCCGGCCCCGTTCCAGTCACCTTCCATGGGTTTAGGATCCAGAGAGCAAATGACGCCAAAGTCTTCGCAGACACGGTGCATGATGAAGCGAGAAATCCACAGATGGTCACCCATGGAGATGCCCTCACACGGTCCGACTTGGTACTCCCACTGAGCGGGCATGACCTCGGCGTTGGTGCCGGCGATCTTCACGCCGGCGTACAGGCAAGCTTTGTAGTGGGCCTCCACGATGGCGCGGCCGAAGACCTTGTTGGCGCCTACACCGCAGTAGTACGGGCCTACAAGAAACAAGGGACCACGTGTAAATGAAACCGTTCAGAAGTATTTCCACTTTCATTTGGCTGGGATGTCGAATTGTTTTTGTCTGGAGAGCTGTGTAATATTCAATGAGCATAAACACTAAAACAAGTACCAAGTGGTACAACCCACTGTGGTTCCACGAACCGTACAACCGCAAATTTGGGGCGTGATCTAATGTGCAAATTAGACGCATGCGCATCAGTGCCATAAAACTGCAGGTATTCCATAGAAACTCGCTAGCAAAGTTGTGATACACAAGTGGCATGGAACAATGTAAATTGGAACGAGTAAATGTTCATCAACCAACCTACCCACCACCAACCAACATAAGCAGCTCAAGCCCACGGCGTGTTTCACACCGCCGTGGGGAAAAAAAGCCACCATAGCCAGCAAGTCAATGGACACAACTTGGACATATGGCACAAGACGTACATGCCAAACTGGTGAAATCCTTTCCCTTCTGGGTCACTGTCATAATATTCCCCCAGTTTCCCCCAATGTTTGGCATTTTTCCCAAATTGCTGGAGTTTTCCCCTCACTGGAAGATTGAGAGCTCATTTTGAGGACTGCCGCCATTATTTTCAGAGTGGCTAGGAACCCTGGCATGTTACATGTTCTGGACAAAACAACACCCTCTGTGGTTGGCGTTGCGTACTCTACTCACCCTGGGGTCCTGGGTAGCCCAGTTTGGGCCAGCCAAACGGATGTCCTGCCTGGGACAGCAGTGTGTACTCCTGCTCAATGCCAAACCACGGGGCTGCGTCCTTGGCCGCCTCCATCACTTTGTTGCAGGAATGTCTGAAGTTGGTTTCTGTAAAGAGAAAAATCAACAAGCCCATCAGGCCAAGCATGTATTGTTGCCTATTACCCCATCTATGGTAAAAGAAAATCTAACACAACTTAAATCTTTTTATTAAATGGTAGGGCCAACCCTTCAACGCTGGCCATCATGTTCCTCTTGTGACCTCCCTTAGCCATGGCCATAGCCAGTCAAAAACCCTTTTTGGACTGGCTCTTATTTTGAACAGTCATTTATTTAGTTTATTTTACCGTCAGTTGCAAAAAAGTAACAAAAGTTGGGCTGGATTTATGGCCTGTAAAGTCACAATGCACTCAACAAATAATTATGTTTTAGATTTCCAAGTCCACTTGAGCTTAACTGCTGTCCGGCTGCCCTACTTGTCCGTTTGTTAGAATGAAGAATGCATGCGTGCGACGTATTTCCACCAGTGGCGACACCACGAGCAGGGTCTGTGAGGTGGCTGACCCGTGTGAGCCCAGAGAATGGCGTCAGAGCTATCGAACGCACCCAGTATGTCTGAATTTCAGGTCAACTTCTTACCTGCTGGTGAATGGTCGTACTTGTTGACTTCGCACATGACAAGCTTGTTGTTACCCCGGCGAAAGGGATCTTTGAAGAGTGCTCTTGGGACAATGTACATGTCACTGTTGGAGCCTTCGGACTGCCATGTGCTGGATCCATCATAGTCCCAGATAGGGAGGTCTATCAAGGTAATAATGGGCAAAAGTTGAGTCAGAAAACTTCAATTGGTCCGAAGTCAAAAACAAAAGATCACAACGCCTTTTCTTCAACTGGAAAAAGCTGCCTATGTGCTGCGCATTCTCAAATAATTTAGTATTAAACTTGAATACTGATATTTTCAAATATGGATATCTTTGTAAAGCGACGTTAAAATGGACTAGCACAACATCTTGGCACAAATTTGAATCATCAATATTGCAGTATTCAGACGCCACTTCAGCGGTTGTGTACAAAGTCTATGATGAGTCCAGAACAGTTTCTAAGTATTTTGTAACAAAATTGGAAACATTTCTCAGCCCCAGATTCATGTTTTTTCCATTAGTTTTGCAATGACTAACCTTCATTGAGATGAAATATGATGAAAAAATTGGCGTCAGGATGCAACGCTCTTTTTAAAAAATTTTTAAAACAAATTACACACTAATTCAATTCATTTGGACTCGACAAGTTAAGGACATAAAACGGAGGGCGACACTTAGTTCGGTTTTGGCTTATACAAGAGTTTACCCGAGTCAAATAGTGCACCCTAATGTGTCCGTAAATAGATGTTGAAATCAAACACTTTCCCAAAATGTAAAGCTTTTCAAAATGTTCAACAAATTATAACTGTTAATAACGGAACATCTGTTTAGACAACGGGATTAACCCTAACCCCCTAGGCCCTTGTTGCTTACAACCATCCTCAATCCTCCAAAATTTTCCAAAATTTTGCAACTCCGCCTAAATTTTTCAAAATTTTCAGACAGTCCTGCCTCAAAATGCATTCATCCTCAATCCTCCAAAATCCTCTTGTGCTTCAATCACCATTCATCCTCAATCCTCCAGAATCCTCATTTGATTCAATCACCATTCATCCTCAATCCTCCAAAATCCTCATTTGATTCAATCACCATTCATCCTCAATCCTCTAGAATCCTCCAAAACCGCCAGGAGGATTTTGGAGGAGTGAGGTGGGTTAGGGTTAAATGACAAGGATGGATTTTTAAATTCCATTTGATGAGTTCTGAAAATATCTGTCCTACCTGATGGGTTTTGAGGTTCCTCCTCTACGGTTTTCGTCTTGCATCGTACGTTTTCACCAGTACCATCAATCCAGACGTATGTGCACTGCACTCGTCCATCGGAGGGCAGATCCAGGTAGTTCTGCAGGACCGTCCTGTCAAGTGCTGCTGAATACTCAGCCATTCTGTGAACGAAAAAATAAACAGTTATAAATCAACATTTTTAGACTTGTTGCTAGTAGGGCCTACATGTATGAACTTTTGTTCCCACAAAAGTGTGGACACAGGAGACACTTAAAAACAATTTGCTGTCGAAATGTTTTGAACTTAAAAGTACAGAGACGACGATCTTTAATTTTGCTGGTAGTGGTAGTCCTACCCGCTATGCTTTTGCATGCATCCTACGATGAAATGACAATATCCGGTGAAAGAAAAATTGGAAAGATTTCCATATACGAAGTTCACTCAACACCCTGTGTACAAACCCTATGAGATTGGACTGAAAAATTCTAAGTGTTTTCTAAGAAAATGCTTGTATTTTCTCACTGCTCAAATTGACTTTGATGACATGAAATTGCTATCTGGGGGCTTGTCAGTCAATACAGAGGAAAATTAGTGAACTTCGCATATGGTAATCTTGCCGGGCCTACATGTATGAACTTTTGTTCCCACAAAAGTGTGGACACAGGAGACACTTAAAAACAATTTGCTGTCGAAATGTTTTGAACTTAAAGTACAGAGACGACGATCTGTAATTTTGCTGGGGAAAGATTTCCATATACGAAGTTCACTCAACACCCTGTGTACAAACCCTATGAGATTGGACAGAAAATTTTAAGTGTTTTCTAAGAAAATGCTTGTATTTTCTCACTGCTCAAATTGACTTTGATGACATGAAATTACTATCTGGGGGCTTGTTAGTCAATACAGAGGAAAATTAGTGAGCTTCGTATATGGAAATCTTTCCGAAAAATTTTCAAATTGTGCTGTACACATGTCCTTATGCGTAGTTGAAATACCATACTGGCTTATTCTTACAAGTTATACAGTTCTTGAATGATTTGGTGGAAAAAATGTTGCAACCTGACTCCACCTTTTTCTTCATTATCATCTCAATTAAGGTCATTCATTGCAAAAATGATAATACATGGATCTGGCACTGAGAAATATTTCCTATTTTGTTAGGAAATACTTAGAAAATGTTCTTGACGGGAAGATTCCCATATCTGGCCATCAGTAATGTTTCCCTTAAATGATGTATCAGTCATCAGAAAGTGATATAGGCCCTATGTCCTAAAAAATCAAAATTAGCACGGACAAATTTTGACTTTTTACTGAGAAAACACTTAGAAATTTTCAGACCAGTCCCACAGGGTTCGTGATGGCCAGATATGAGAATCTTTCCTCTACATAGACTTTGTAAACAATAGTGGAAGTGGCGTCTGGTTGCAATATTTTTTTCCAATTTGGTTAGGCCTACATCTCCAAAATTTTAATCTACTTCTTGGAAAAAAAATAAAATATAGGGCCTAGCCCTAGGCCACTACACTCCGAGTGGGAATTAAAATTAAGTATTTCCTTTAACAAGTACTGAAGTACTAAGTAGACATGCAACTCAGAATTCAGAAACACGAGGAAATTCCAAACCACACAACCATGCCAATCTTTGTAAATTGTAGTTTTTTTCCTTCTATAATTACTATTTATGAGAACTAAAAACAAAAAATCGGCGGATGCCAGGAAAAGTTGCAACTGCATGTTTGTGTCATGACTCAGTTGACTACCATTCCATTGCACCGACATGACCGACAACGTTCATATCACTATTCATTTAATTAAAAACTAAAATGTACACAAAATGGCTCTAAAAAACTAGGGCCTAGGTCATCATCATACTCCCACAAACGCCCACTGTCACTGTTTATTTTCGTATCTACTGAATAAAATATATATTCCCTTGCATAACCGAAAAAAAAACACATTGTGCGACGAATAAATAGAAACGACCATGAACCATTGAAAAGGGTGGGCCTTGTTGTTCAGGCCCCCACATAAGTCACTAGACTTATGCATGACGTCACGTCACTGCCACGAGGGAAAACGTGCAATGCCATTCAGTGAATTCATCAACAAAACGAAATGACCGGCCTTTTGAAAACATGGTTTTATAAACGGAAGTATCGTATTTATAAACTAGGGATTAGCACGAGAAAGAACAATCTAAATGTCGAAATACTCGCGTCAAACAATAGAAAACTGGTCGAGAAAAACATGAATTTTTGTCCAGGAATACGCACCCACAATTTCGGCACAAAACTTCGGAGTTCAACATGTAGCCTACATGATGTACATGTACATGTATGTTGAACTTGATAAACTGACTGACCGAAATTCAAGGCAATTTCACGTCTAATAAAACGATGAAATATGTAATTCATGAGACTAAACTTTCAACATCAAGCACAAAAGTATGTATCCTCACCTGTTTTATGTTTTTGTAGTCGAAAAGCGACGAATTTACGGCAAGAAAAACTGATTCCACGATGTAAGCCCAGAGAGGTCGAACACGTTCTATAACACGGCGCGAAATATGGCCGGGATATATTGCACAGGAACGGTTCAGTGATCTCGTCGCTGATTGGCGAATCGCCCGATAACACGCGAGGCGCGCTCGCTGATTGGCTGCTTCTCGTGATTGAGGGATGACTAGATTCCGAGCAAGGACATAACGTCACGAAACACGTGCGTGTAAAGCATTGCGTATTATCATTTTCTACTTCAGAACAAAACATTGGCGCGTGTAAAAATGAGAAGCAGAAGAAATACCCGGTGACATTGTTACTAAATACATTCCCCAAGGTTCTTTTAATATAATAGGCATGTTAATATGCAATGACGCGTCTGTGCGCTGGGTAGTATTTTTCCACAGAGCAGAATAGTCTTTCAGCCGAGGAAGAAAAACACATCCTTCGCAGATATCTCAAAACAAAAACTGCATTCTTACTCCAAATTGCAATTAAGAAATTCATAGGAAAGCCTTTTTATTGGTGGAGGGGGCGATCAGATCTCATTTTAAGAGCGCAGCTGAGAAGTTTATAAGTGCTCCAGGCGCTCGAATTATACATATATAGTACATTTTTATTCAACTCAAAAGTTCTTAAAATTCCCAGCAGCCTGCTCTCGCTGTGCTCTGAGCCAGCCTATAAAAACGTGCAACGTACCCGGGCCATGACAGGTGCTATGTATTCAGAACGCACGCACGTGGGGCATGCACGGGGACATTGGATGGCACGAGTTTCATTCGTGATTCCTTTTACACTGAGCCCCACGATTATAATAACTGAAACAAAATAACTGAAACCCAATAAACTCACAAAAATTAATTACGACATACCCGAGTACTATTCTATAAGACAGTGTTTGTTTGAAGTATCTTGAATTCTTGAGTGCAATAAATTAATAATAGCCGTATATAAGAAAAAGATTATGCTCAAAAGGCTGGAGTTAGGTTTTTGCTGTTCATATTATACGGCAATTATGCGACGGGTGGAATTTCAGATAAAAATGGATTATGCCCAATTAATTTGTTAAATGTTAAGAACATCCCCCCTCACTTTTACTGTCAACCGCCCCCCCCCCCCTTCTAGAAAAACGACTTGGAAACATTTTGAGGTAAGCTTGGTTGGAAACAACAGAAACTTGTTTCTTTTGGGTAATCCTGCGGGAGCTTTTTGGGTGTTGTTTTCTGTTATGTTTTCTGTTATGTTTACTAGTCAGTGTTACTTGTACATGTAATTGTTTTGTCTATGATTCACTGTTTGTAATATCCCGGAAAATGAAATTAATAAATAAATAAATAGTACAATTGCCCAACCATCGTTGGAAAAACTGACTTTTTTTTCAAAGTCTTCGCCAAATTACACGTCCGCGCCTCGAAGGGGTGCAAGAACTAGTTTGCGGGAACCGACTTAATAATTCCCTGACGTCTATGCACTGCTGAATTTCGTTTGAAGCAAGGTCGGGGAATTAACCAGACTACAAGAACAACATTTTTTCTAGTTTTTCCAGCATCATACTGAAGAAAAAACTGTAAACAGGTCAGTGTAACAAAATTGACTATAAAATACTAATTCCCTTAATCTGTCCATTTCCGAAGATTACAGCAAAAGCAAATGTTGTGTATTGCCTTTCAAATTGCAAGAATTGCCCTCAGTGAGGTCGCACTGTGAAATGAGTCTATGGGCCAACTATAGATTAATGTCATCTAAATTAATTAAACTGTAGATAAGAAAAGAAACTGATGCACACATTATTACGTACTGTGTATGCCTATTCATGGTAATTGATTCAAAGTTTACAAATTGGACAATATTTATCAACCCAAGACGTAGGCCTACCTACATCAAGTTTAACATCATCCCCGAATGACGTCAGTGCTGCTAAATCCTGCCGAATTTAATTGAGATCAGTGAGCAAAAACAATATGGATTTAAAGGCGGTGGTGACGTAGATGCAGTGCGTGTGCATAGCGCCTTATCGAGTCAATGCAATTTACTGCATCTGCCCTAGGGAAACTGTTATACGGTAATTGAAGTCTCAAGTACGCTCAGTCAATTGGAGAAAAATAATGGGGTATAATGCACATTTAATTTGAATGTAGAAGAGATAACATCGTGCTGCAGGGAAGGGTTGGTGGTGGATACCCGGTGAAAGGAGGCTGTAAAAACATGGATGGGTAAATATCGAAGATGGGATGGACTCAGCTCCGACCGTGTTTCCAGAACAGACGTGGGCATGCATACAGAGGGAACTTGCATCTTGAGCTATTGAGGCGCCCACGCCAGTCCTCCGAAAATATACGCGACATTAGATGGATTATTGAAAATAACGCACCAATGCGCATTAACAACATTCGCAATGAGCTCCCGCCTTATTTGCTTTGAAAAAGTTATACATATCTTGGTCAGAACTTAGTAGGCCGACTGAATTTTTTATTTTATTTTATTATTATTATTTTTTTTTTTTTACATTAACTCGGCTTAAAGTCCAATTGTTTGTGCTCCAATAATTATGTTTCTGGAAACATAATTATTGGATTACTGAATTTTTTATTTTATTTTATTATTATTATTTTATTTTTTACATTAACTCGGCTTAAAGTCCAATTGTTTGTGCTCCAATAATTATGTTTCCAAAAATGTTTTTACGATGTACAATAATGCTGAGAAATGTTTAATGTTCCGGGAATGTTGACATTAAAAGTCAGTGTAATTAAAATTAACATTAACACTACAATGTATACAACACTATGCCGGAATGTTACACTCGAATAACAGTGCGAAGTGCTTGAATTAGTGAGGCCTTACCGAATCGCAAGTTCTGTTGCCCGAAATTATGCATTAACCCGCAATTTCAATAGAGTTGAACTCTTCAACTTTACATTTTGATTTGATTGTGATGATTTCATTTCAGCTGTGAATAGAACGCGTTTTGTGCCGCAGCATGGGACACGTATTTCATAGCAAACCTTGACCACTAAGTGACCAAGGATTCAATTTATTTTCAGAGCACTGATGTCGACCGGGCGGGATCAACAGCCATGAGACATTTAAGGACAGACAGACGATAAAATTGTCGACCTGGCGGGGTCAACAGCCAGTGAGACATTTAAGGACAGACAGACGATGAAATTGTCGACCATGCCTATTATTATGACTTCGTCCGGAAATCGATGTGCATGGCGGCATAAAAGCCTTTCACACAGTCTCTGAAACGAGGCGCTTTGTCGCTCTCTCACCTGATGAATGAACGATCAATTTTGGCAGATTTGGCGGGAAATGAAACTTCCGCGCGTGCTGCAATAGTGTGCAGCATGCATCACCTATAGGCCTATAACAAAGGAAACCGCATATATAACACGTGGAACCCACGAAGAAAAGCGTTATTTTACGACCGTGAAAGGTTATTGAACTCGACGACATCGGAACAAATTGCATTGAAATTTACTGACAATATTCGACGGTGCTATTATAGCTGCGTGATTACCAACGCATGTTTTGGGAGATGGAAATTTCTGAGATGACGAAATTGCTGCTTCATTGTCTGAACTGAAAAAAAACCCTCCTGCAGAGGGTCTGAACCAAAGATTGTGGAGTCAATTTCGCAACTTTCAAAAGTGGGGATTCCCCAGAAGTTGCTATCACGAGAAAACAAACCAGTATGAATGGCCGAGCACAAACATTTCAAATGGGTGTAACAATAAACCGTAAAATCGCCTGTGTTGTCAACGCACGTTTGGGGAACTGCAAATCGTACTGATATCGTGAAATTTCACCTATTGTCTGAAAAACCACCTCCCAGCGAGTATCTTCAGACCCAACGATAGACTCAATTGCGCAACCAAATTACAGCGGGAATTCCCCACAAATTTCTGGATTGCCAACAGCTATTAATTATTGTGTATGATAATTGAATATAACCTTTTGTAATGCCAGCAGGATCGATTCGATATTTTCAATGTTGTGGATATGCCTTTTTGGCACAATAAGCAGCTCACTTCCATTAGCTTTTACGCACGTTATTATAGTGTCGGGTTCAGGGTTTTTTCAATACTTGCGTTGATGCGATGTTGGCCTTAACAGAGAAATTTTTTTTTCTTCAGAATCAGCTGAAATAGGCTTATGGGACACGTTTACTGGTGATATTTACTCAACGGAATAGAACGAGTTTCAACTGTTTTTCAAACCAAGTTGTTGACAGTAATTGTTCACGTCTCGTCTCTATTTTCAGTGGGTGATTGAGTGCAATTTACGAATTGAAAATGAGCTCATAAAAAACATAATACTAAACGAAACCATGCAATATTGTTTGACGTTTAATATACCAGTGAGGAAATTGAGGATTTTGTTTTACCCCGGGTAATATCCACATTTTGGACTGCCGGGATCGTCTTACGAAACCAACATAATTATTTTGGGACTTGAGAAAGTGGTGACGTAAATATGGAGCGGCCTGACGTGAGAAGGTTAAAATCAGGACATGATGGAAGCTAAAAATAGCTCTTTGTCAGACCGCGTGGCCTGATTTCCGGTCACGTGATTTTGTTTGGTTCTCGCTTCCCTTTCAGCAGACGCAATGCTGTGAGAGCACGCTAGTAATAGTAGTATAGAGAGTCGTATCATTCAAAGCCTCTAAATAAAAAAAAATCAAATAAACGGCATATAGGATCATTTACATTTATCACAAAAGAAACCTAGCCAATTGTTATCAAAACTCGGCTTACTTTGATTAAAGATCATACACTGCAAATGTGTTTATCAATTAAACACTTTTTTGTTATCAGTTTGTAATCACGTTTAAATACTAAACATGTTTAGAGTAAGGATGGATAGTGTCAAGCAATTGAACACTGATGTTTAGCAATTGAACACATAATGTTTAGCTTCTAAACATGTTTACAAAATTATTGCTAAACACAGTTTACAGAGTGTACTGATGCTGCACTGAAGGCTGAACACGACCCTGTGTGAAATTATTCCGTCTCAGGGTTAGGTTTGCTGTCATTTTAGAAGAAATCCGGAAATATAGGTGATTTTCAACGATCAATTTATTGAATGAATTTTGAAACAAAAGTCGAAAATAGACGAAACTCTGTTTCGTGATCAAAAGGTTTTGTACGTTTTTTTCAAAATTTTCTCGATATGTGTAGGCCTAATTATCCACTGAGCTGAAACCTCAACAGATTTGATTTTGAACATTCTCATTTGGAACTTGATCGGGTGTTATTATTAGAAAAAAAGGCACGAAGAGCAAAATTCCTACATGCTTAAAATAGTTATAACTCACGCATCAAAATATTAAGACAGAACTTGGAGAAAAACAGGCAGGTGTTTCTACTGAAGTACACCAAAAAAAATGACACTTAGGTAGATCTTAATTTGCCACTGAAAGAGAAAACTCCTGAATTTCTTTAAGCAATATCAGAAGTGACATTGTTCACAATTCTTTACAACTTTTTTAGCAAAACAAAATATTCTCAGAGTTCTTACAAATCTGAGAAAATGTTGTACTGAATTACATCATCACAGCTGTTGCATTTCTGACAGGTTCAAAACAATATTGTGCAAACTGCACAATCGTGGCAAAACACATCCAAGCTGAATATTGATTATATTTCCACACCATATGTTCACATTTGTATTCTGCATTTGGAATAAAATCCATACAACAAACACGCAAGGAACACCAAGTCCTGAGCTAGGATTTCAGGCCAACTCTTCCAGTATTTGTGGTTATGATCGGAGGGATGATTTTTTATAATGTGACCTGTCATTTCATGTGGCCCGTCAACACAAATCAGCATTAAGTCTGATTTGTTAAGAATTGAGGTTTTATTTCTAGATTCTGCAAAACAAGAGCTTTCTAATCACATATAACATTCGGGGCGCTTAGTTCAGTACCAGAAATATAGAAATAGATGTTGTGAAAGTTATTTTTGAGAAAATGGCATTTAAAAAAACCAAAAAAAGAGAGTGGAATATCAATCAAATTGTAAGAAAAAGATTTCTAACATAATTTGACCGTCCAAAATGGAAGCTTTCGTACCCCCCAAAAATAGAAGCTTGTGCACCCCCCCCCAAAAAAAATAAGAATTAATGAAAGCTGGCATACCCCCCAAATGTTAACAACTGTCCTTCGGACTACAGCCCTAAAACTAAACCACCCCCCACCCCCACCCCCCCAAAAAATACTGGTTCAGAACCACATCTAATATGTAAATGATTAATATGCAAATGATTCCTTCTGCTGGGTCAGGTGTCATAACGTGGAGGTTGGCATGGCAACGGCTGTCGGATACTGGTGATCGAGGTGTCGGAACTGCAGTGCGCACTTGTTTCGCTCTGATGTGTAGCCTAGCTTGTCGTACAGATGGGCCTGTTTAAAAATAAAATAAAAAAATAATAAAAACATCTCAAAACGAAATGAAAAAATTATCACAAAATGCCTTACTGGATTGTTAGGGAATGACAGTCTAAAGCATTCTGTAAAATCGTGGCTCCTGGTGTGCTGACATTTTCAAGAAAAATGGTATTTATCCTATGATGGTCGCCCGACCAGCGTTGCAGAAAACTGGTTTTTTTTCAAAAACTGCTTGCAAACTCCTTGCTGCAAAAACTATTTGCAATTGATTACACACCTGTGAAGGGGTACAAGCCTGCTAGACTGATTCTCTGACCTTACAATTCCCCAAAGTCTATAAATTCTCTGTTTCATCTTAAGTGGGGTCAGGGAACCAGACTACATGAACATGAATGGTCTTCTTCATTTTTCCAGCACCTACAAGCCCAAAACGTGAAACAAGTCATTTTAACAATATTTGCTCTAACATACTAATCCTCCAAATCCATTTATTTCTGAAAATTGAAGCAAAAGCAAATGTTGTACATTCCCTTTACAAGATGTTCTTGAGTATATTAGAAACAAGTTCCAAGTGGTACAACCCATGGCGGCCGGGTAGCAGTGAGGCCGGGTAACGTGTGAAGACGGCTAATGGCTAAAGACGTGCACCCGGGCCATACCGGTACCTCGAGAGTACAGAAAACGAAAAGGAATGGGGCGTACAAAAAACGAAAAGGAATGGGGCGTGATCTAATATGCAAAAAGTATGCAAATTAGACGCATGCTCAACAACAGTGTCTGCAAAACCAGTCTTGGAATGTAAAGCTGTGATACTTGAGTTGTATGAATGCGATATATGGTCGAGTAAAGTGTCCACCTACCAACCAACCAACCCACCCACCCAACCACCAACCAACAACAGGCCCCCCCAAAAAGTCTCCGGTTTCTGGTTTGCGCGCGCGTCGCCGTAGCCATACGCGTCGGCAAAATGAAACAGTTTTTTTTTTCAATGAAAGATGATGTCTCAAAACCGCCAAACTCACTGGTTTGACTGGAATCCTGCTGCTGCACAATTTTAACGTGTTTTTAGATGGGGTTATGATTGAGAATAAGCTTGATGTGGCCTCTCTGGTCTCCCATAATAATTGCACTAAGTTTAGTCGGGCACCATTTGCAGCCATCAGCCGACATTTGAAGCAAAAAAAAACAGGTAAAAAAAAAAAGCCGCGTTGCCGCACCACTTCTTGGGCAAGCTCCATACCAGAAACCGGAGACTTTTTGGGGGGGGCCTAAGCAGCTCAAGCCCACGGTTTGTTTCACATCACCGTGGGGAAAACAACTGGTGCAGTGTTGATGAATCCAGTCACGTGAATTATTGAAAAAGTAACAATGCTGGGAATTTAAACAATCATTAATTATCATCAATTTCATTATCAGTGACAAGTAAAATGCCAACCCATTTCCTGGATTAAGATCATAAAACCATGATGCCTTAAATCACAAATTACATGTTGATATTTCAGTTTAATTCCACTGCATTAACTTGGCATTGCGACCATCTGCTTGTTTCTGGAATTATGCATAAATTCTCATCGGTGAAAAAAGTAAGAGAAAATTCCTGCTGCAATCATCAGAATTCTACCTGTCAAAAAGACACAGGAAAACAATGCAACGAACAAATTGTTCCTTTACATTAAGGACAAAAAGTACTACTGATTACTTCCGTAGAAAATCATAAAACAGTCCGCAGAATATTGAAAACTCAAAATCAACCAAAGTTTGATTTTGCATGGCTTGTTAACAGTAACAAAACTAGGTGACCCGAGTCAAGCTATTCCCTGAGAACACGAATTCATTTCATGCAGCTGGTCTACACGATGGGCCAGATTTAGCCGGTTCCTTGGCGTTACTGGGTAATCCTATACAACAGCACTGCCCAGCTGAACTATTGCGATATTTCTACTGTATGTTACCAGAATGCAGAGCCATTTCAGGGCCCTTGTTCGCTCACAAATATGGTCAATTCTAATTTTAAAAAAAAATCGCCTAACCTGGAGGTAGATGACGTCTTTAACACGATACTCTGCCTCCATTTTGTGGAAGCCGTCCGCCGTTTCTTGCAGGAGTTGGACTACTGACAGCAGAACTGCAGTGGGAAAAAATGTTTGAAACATCTTCATCTTGAAAAACAATGGAAACTTACTCTGTTATTTTCCAAAATACAAATACAGGGTTAGTAAAAAAACAACGAAACCCAAATGTCAGGACTATTGTTTTATTGAAGTTCTGCATGTAGCACTTTCAAAATCTAGGATTTGAAAGCCCAATTCATAAGCTTTCTTTTAGTACAAGAATCATTCAAATCACTCATGTACTTTTCAAATTACGGAATTTTAAACACAATCACCATTTTAAGGTTCTGTCCACGGATCCCACAAAAGGTGTGTGTTCTTTCAGCAAAACGAAAACAATTCACACACATCCCTATGTGACTTCTTTTTGTTTTGCTGAAAGAACACTGAACTTTTTTGTGATTCGTGGACAGAACCTTAAAACGGTGGTTGAGTTTAAAATTCCGTAACTTGAAAAGTACATGAGTGATTTGAATGATTCTTGTACTAATAAAAAGCTTATGAATCGGGCTTTCATATCCTAGAATTTGAAAGTGCTACATGCAGAACTTCACTAAAACAATGGTCCCAACATTTGGGTTTCATTTTTTTTAACTCACCCTGTACAAGGGTATTTTTGGAAGTTGCTTTTTTCTTGAGTAATAATAATATGGGTTTTTAAAGGGCCCGTGCACTTTTATTTATGAAGTCCTTGAAAATGCACCTTTTTGTCCAATTAAACCATATTTGCCATTTTGAAGGATATTTCGGTGCCTTTTGGATGTTTATGCTAATGTCAATATTCATGAGTAAATATGTGATGCCATTTCAGACAGAAACCTCAATGTTACAACTAATTTCAGCACCAGAAGTTGCCAAAATTTTGGATATTCTGCTGTCGTAAACTTTCTTTTCTTTAGTGATTCGTTGTTGTGTCAGTACATGGCAGTAAGCCAATGAGCAAACTTTTCTCACAAATGTTTTCAATGAACACATTTTTGGGTTCACAATTTAAACAGAAAACACCTAAAAAATAACCGAATCTTCCTGAACTGACATCTTAGCAACAGTGCACTCAATTGTCCGAAAAGCATGGACAATTTGTTTGTATGTTTAAAGCTATAGTCCATCATTTGCAGCCGACCAAAAAAGTAACTGGTGTATTATTGTTGAAAAACATACTTGGTTGAAAGATAGTAAGTGGGCTAAACTCCCTGTGAAATTAATCTTTCTGGCAAGCTATCATGTTGAGGTAATCAACGAAAGAAGGCCTTTCCAACGGTGCATCTTAATACGCACCGTAGGAAAATTTAAATTAGTAGTTCGTTTTGTTATTCGGCGCAGCGCGCGCAAGCATTGGCACGACGCACGCGGTTGCTATAATTCGTCGGATCAGTGCGCGACATCGCGTATAGCTGCAATTCACAACAATTCAAAACATGATTCAGCAACTTTTGATTTGAAATTGAGATCCTAGAATGCTGTTTTTCTCGGAATATACAGCTGAAGCTGAGCTGAAACTTCATCAGGTTAGTTGTTCAGTATCCTTCATTAGATTTTGAGCACTTTTGTTGCTTCAAACAAACAAAATGCACAAATTACAAATGATGGACTATATCTTTAAAGAAGTATGCTTTTCAATCAAACTAACCAAAAAAGGGATGTCAAATAGTTTTCATACATTGGAGAGGTTTAGAAAGTTGCACAAAATATGTTCCTAAGTGTTCACTTCATGGGCCCTTTAAGGTGCACATTTCCACCAAATACATGAATGTGCTCATGACACAGTACATGTACATTATATTATAATGCCTTAGCACGATCAGGCCATGCAAAACACCTCACAGAAAAATATTTCACAGACCATGGAGCTATAAAACAGATGCACAGACCATCTCACATGATCTCAGCTCCCTGGGGAGTAAACAGCTGGATGCTGCCTTATAAACAGCAGGGGATGCCAGTAGGTTTTTGGCTCCAGGGTCTATAAAATGTGAAAGACGGCACGCAATACCACTCATGTATGTGTACATAATACATGTGTGTCTACTTTGACCTTAGAATTCATACATGTTGAGTTAGCATGGCGATTGGGCGTTGCATGCAATTTTTTTTTTCTCTGTGTGTGTTGCATGAGGATTTATTTTTTAGGCCTGCGAAGAGGTGGAGTGCCTGAATTTGTTTGTTCCAAAATATCAAAAGACTGAATTCTGGCTATAGCCTGAAAACTTGCGTCCCTGCTTATAAGTTACAAGCTGATTTACCCGATCATAGATCGGGTAGGGCGTATTTGTGTTGGGGTTGAAAGTGTGGGGAGTTAAATGTAAATGGGGGATTTAGTTGAGAAGACATGTAGCTATAGAAAAGCAATTTACGGTGACGCGATCTGAGGCAATTTCTGACCACGTACGATAGTAAAACAAAAGATCATCTTTTAAACATCATTTTCGAGTTTGGAGTCATTGAATCAGCTGTTCTGAGCAAAAGAATATTATAGTAGGCAACAATTTTTATTCGGGGAAGAAAAAGTGGGGGTAGGGAACCAAACGATATTGCCCGCTTTAAAATGTTGGGGTGGGGGTCCCCCATCCCCCACCGATTGACGCTGCGCCCATGATAATTATGTACCATGGCATGTATAACTGTCTGTAAATTTTCCTGTTGGTCTGTTAAATTGCATTTTGTGAGGCAGTCGCGTTTGTTAATGTGGGAAAACTGAGTTGAAAGACTTACCCTATAGTACACAGGCGAAGGCTGATTGTACTGTTTTGACAATAAATCATAATGGAATAAAACGTGAAGGTGGCATTTGCAATAAAAATGTTGAGTGTGTTACCATAAAATTACATAGTCTGAATCATGGAGGAAGGTCATTATGAAGGTACAGTATTGGACTCTCCAACAAACGTAAACTTGAACTTCTTACAATTTGCGAGACCTGCGAGGAAAAAGTCGATTTAACTATTTTATTCAGGTTGGCATGGTTCAACCATAATATAAGCAAGGCCAAACAGCCAACAACCGCCAATATTATTATTTATGCACTCTTCGTTATTCCAACCCAACATAGTTCAAAGATCACAATATTTGAAGCAATGCATCGATCCCTCGTTGATTTACCCGATCATACTATCGGGTAGGGCGTAGAGTTGGGGATGAAAATTTGGGGAGATGAATGTAATTGGGGGATTTAGTTGAGAAGACGTGCAGTTATAGAAAAGCAATTTCTGTGGTGCGATCTGAGGCAATTTCTGACCACTAAAACAATTTTTTTTAGCAAAAGATCATCTTTTAAACATCATTTTTGAGTTTGGTGTCCTTAAAATGAGCTATTCTGAGTAATAGAACCATTATACATGTAGTAGCTACAATTTTTATTCGGGGAAGAAAAGTGGGGGGGGGGGGGGGGGAGGGGACCCAAAAAGTCTCCACCGCTTTAAAATGGGGGGGGGGGGGGGGGTGACACGATCATTCAATCACACACAACCACACAGGTACCCATTAACTCCTTTGTGGGGAAAAGTAAATAGTGATAAGTGCCTTGCCCAAGGGCACACGCACCCCAGGCTGGACTCGAATCCGCAATCTGTAAAATTATCCATGAGATTCTGACTTCTGACCCTCTCAAAAACAGAATCAATTAATAAAAGTTAAAGAGGACATTAGTTTTTCACTTTCTTGGATTTCAAATACTACAAATGCATTGATTGAAGAAAACATATTGAAAAATCCTGCAGCAAAATGGAAAAAGTTTAGGTAAGAATATAAATCGTTGGGTGCTCTACGAAGTGACGTATCATCTATAGACTTCGTGCAGACGATACGTGACTTCGTGGTGCGACCGACGAAATGAAGCATATCAATACCGCAGCATAAGGATGTGACGTTTACACGTTTCAACTATTTAAATGAAAAAAAAAATATATATATTTTTACACATTCTCCAAAACGTTTCAACGAATCCCGTTTTTACTCTGCCCTCAAAGTAAAACATGCATTTCACCAAAAACAAAAACCAAAAAAAAAAAGGATGCCTTAAAATTCATTTTGTTTCTAAAGCAAAAGGAAATCTATTATAAATGATCTTTATTTTTTTGTAAATCGGGGTCGATGATGCCCTTCATTGGTTGTACATTGTACACTGACATGCTCGAGTGCTGGGGCAGGCAGCAGTCTTTGTGAAGCGGCAAAATTAAACGCAAGGCCCCATCCTTACGGCAGCACTTTTTGACAAAACGTTGGCCTGACTGTTGTTGCATGGAATTTCAAGCAACATGGCCACGCCAAACCAAACACAAATCTTCAGAACCCATGTGATAGTGTTTTGATAGTTCACAGGAATTTGACAATGGAGTCAGAACTTATGGGTGAGGTTTACTTTACGTCACAACAACAGAATGATTGTTGGGCTAACCTTGGTGTCTGCATGACAGACCCTTTACAAAAAAAACAACAATGAAAAGCCTTGGAAATATACAGACACAAAAATATTGTCAAACTGGCCCCAATAGAGTTTGACATTGGCAGGCAACAATTCCAGTGAACCAGCCTATTTTTCTATAGCTCATGCCATAAGAAAAAATAAATAAATAAATTTTAAAAAACCCACCAAAATACACATAAGATTCACTAGTGATATCCCCAACCCAAAACCTTGATACACTCTTCAATGTTTTTGTAAAACGCAGCAGAAAACTTTGCTTAACTCTTTCAGTGCCAAAGTAGTACATGTACGAGGTAAAATTTTTAGTTCGAAATTGCCAACATGTACGAGGTAATGTTCGTACTTAAAATCGCCAAACCTTGTACATGTACGAGGTAGAGTAAGCATGTTATCACAAGGGGGTGCTCTCGCTCTTTCTAATAATATCATTTGTATATCGACCTGTATTTATTGATTCATTCGAGTTCTTGCGAGATGGCGCAGCACTAAAACTTGTATCTTCTGCAAAAAGTGTGGAATTCCCCTGTGTGCAGGACAGTGTTTCAGGGTGTATCACTATGTATGTGACTACTATCGACTTTCCAATGTATCAAAGATATACCAGAGAGCAACAACAACAAATTTAGTGAGTAAAACTTATTTACATTTTTTTTTTACAGAATTTTGAACAATTACAAAAAACGCTTACAATTACAAAAAAGCTCGACTCGATTTTTGGGTTAAACTTTTCAACTTTCGTGGGCACTGAAAGAGTTAATGGTACAGTCTATCATTTGTAGTTTGTAACCTGATGAACTTTCAGCTCAGCTTCAGCTGTGTATTTTGAGAAAAACAACATTCTAGGATCTCGATTTCAAATCTAAAGTTGCTGAATCATGTTTTGAATTCGGCCCGAATTTAGCTTCCGAGACAAATTCTCACTGAACTGATTGCAGCTACACGAAGTCGTGTACTGATCCGACAAAAAATAGCAACCGCGGGCGCGTGTGCGTCGTGTCAACACTTGCGTGTGCTTTGCCGTATAAAAACACGAACTACTAACGGAAATTAACAACGATCTGGAAAGGCCTTCTTTCGTTGATTTCTTCAAAATGACAGCATGCCAGAAAGAATCATTTCACAGGGAGGTTAGTCCCCTTACTATCTTTCAACCAAGTATGTTTTTCAACAATAATTACGTCAGTTACTTTTTGGATAGCTGCAAATCATGGACTGTAGCTTTAATGATATATGTATCCACATTTACCTGCTTTTCTGCCGTCGCTGTCTAACTGTCCTGAACAGGCGACTTTACATTTGGCATACAGGAACTTCACACAGCACTGCTCATACAGGGAGCCTGGAAAGAATGAGGTAAACAAAATTAAAACATTTACCATAATTGAGCATAAAATCCTTTGAGAAGGAACAAAACAAATTATGAATATACTCAGTTTTCAATTAAGAACAAGTGCTGAAAATGTAGGTACAATTAGACAATTTTGGTACAATGACAAAATAAGGGTTGGGGATAGGGTGGGGACAGGGGCGGGAAAAAGCAGGCATGCAACTGGGAATTTAGGGGGAAAAAACGAGGAAGTTCCAAACCACACAAGACTCTGTACAGTATTTTTCAATTTGTAATGACATTCATGAGAAGTAAAAAACGAGGAAATCAGTGGATCCGAGGAAAAGTTGCATGCCTGGAAAAGGGGTGGGACTGGGGTGTTGTAGGGGTAGGGGCATTGTAGGGGTAGGGGCGAGGCAGGGGTGTGGGTAGGGGTATGGCCAGGGGTGTGGGTAGGGGTAAGGGTGTGGGTGGGGATAGGAGTTGGCAAAGGGGTGGTATATGGTAGGGTAGAGGTGGGGTGTGTAGCGTATACATTAGGCTGGAGGTAGGGTGGGTGGAAGGGTTGGGCTGGGTAAAGTAAGGCTGGAGGTAGGGGTGGGGTACCATACAAGTGAGGTTGGGGTGGGGGAAGGGTAGGGTAGGGGTGCATGAGGGTGGATAGGGATGGGTTGAAAGTTGTTAAATTTGATTTAACGAGCATTTAACAATTTATTTGCATGTTACATTGAACATTTGGAAAGTGTTAAGTTGAAAAAAAAACCTTCAGAGAAAAAAAAACCAGAACATGCTTCCATCAAAGGTTAAGTCTAATACCATTAGGATATGCCATTAGAATATTAAATTGTATTCTTGAGTAATTTCTGGTTATTTTCTTAATATCTTTTTGCTCCTTGGACCTTCAAAATGGTCCACATGAATGAACAGCCTTCATCTAGGCTACATATTACAATAACCTGAACAAGTTTTTATCAACATTTCATATGACACAACAGCATTGTTTATTGTAAGAGTACATTCAACCCTCTTGCTATCTGAACTGTCACTGACAGTCAAAATATCAATCTTCTTCCCATGCCATGCCTTTTACACAGGCTAGTCACTAACAGTCAGATCAGATAAGCAAGCACTGTGACTAGTCAAATTCAGTCAACAGACAAACGCAGGTGAAGTGCTAGGCACAGCTGGCTTATTAATCACCTGCTGTACAGTCAATTGCATAGCTGTATCATAACAGTCACAGCCAGTCAATCCAGCTTTATGTAGCTCTTAACTGTTGAAAACAGTCACTTGATTGATTTGGACTGAAAGGACAACTTGGCACAGAATGTATGTTAGCATAGGAGGGTCTTCATATTAAAAAAAACCACACACATTACTTTTTTTCTTGATAAAATTGATGCAATCACACACCACATATGACTTTCGTTCTGCAGTACATAAAACTGTTCCCAATACTCAGGCATGCAACTGGGAAATCACAAAAAAAAGAGGAAATTCAAATTTTCCCCAGACTTTGTACAGTGTTTTTCTATTTTCAATGGCATACATGGGAAGTAAAAAAAAGAGGAAATCAGCTGATCCGAGGAAAAGTTGCATGCCTGAATACTGGTATTTGACAGAAGCATATGTATTCTAGAACACTTGAGAGTTTTAGGGCTTAATTCTGCCCAATCCTCAAATATAATCTGACATAGTTTGCCCGTATAGGGGGAAAACTTGTGACATCCCGTTCCCAGATTGGGAAAACTTGTGACACTACCGATAGACCTTCATCCCAGTCCCACTCAACATACAATGGGTAGTAAACCACAGAGCAACGAACACCCATTGTTTTACGATTCCATTGTGTCTGGGTCCAAAGTACCTATCGGCTGATATGGGAAAATAATGACAGTTGATTTGATGGCAAACTCCAGGGCAGCAGAACAAACACTGTAAGATACAGACCCGATCACAATTGAAGTAAACAATCCCACATATGGATTTATGGTTATTGGCAGTATCGGATGATTGAGGTCCCTTGGGGTATTACAATAGGCAATGTAGGGAGCCTGGGTGTAAAGTCGGCCGAGTTCGATTACATCGGGGCGATGAAATCTAGTTCAGTGACTGGGTTCAAATTGTGTTGCAACATGTTGACCTGTTTGTCAAGTTGAAGGTGATCTGTTTTTTTTTTTGGTCAATCTGTATCACCTATGATTTTTTCTCCCCAACTTGCGGCCATTGTTTTTTCAAGTTTTGTGACTGATTTGTAGAACAAAGAAAAATTGATTGATGTGGTGTTCCATTTTGAGATATCCGTAACAAAAATACTGGCTACGTACTGTATCAATTAACTGAGCCATTCAGGTGTACAGTACACTTGCAGTCTAAAAAAATGTCAACTATTATTGTGAAGCATACATACACGTGGTGCTGGGGGAGGGGGGGGGGCAATTTTTATGTATCTACTACCTGTATTAAGCACAGAAATATGCTAAACACACAAAATACTTGCTTATCAAAACAGGTTACTGGCAAAACACATCCTGAAATTGCGGGAGCCTGTTTGCTGTACATGTTTTGAGCGGCAACTGAGCTCTAGTGCCTCATTAGTATTATTGTGGCATGGCCCCTACAAATTTACACACCACTTGCTTTTGCTGTAATTTTCAGAAATGGATGGATTTGGGGGCTTGCATTTTATAGCAAATATTGTTACACTGGCCTATGAAAAATTTCGTTATCCTAGGTGCTGGAAAAAAACAAATAAAAAAATGCTTGTAGTCTGGTTCCCAGATCCTAGTTTTGAAACGGAACGGAATTGTCAGGTCAGGGAACCAGACTAGCTGGCTTGCGGTCCATTAACGGGTGTGTAAACCGATTGCAAACAAAATGTGGACTACAAAATGTTGGCAGTAAATTTACAAGTTAGTTTTTTCGGCCGGCCATCGTTGGAAATTGATCTAAGTTCCACCTTTCTTGAAAATGACAGCACACCCTGTGCCATGATTGCACAGGATGTTTGAGACTATTCACTTACAGTCAAGTAAGGTATTTCATAATAATTTGGTAGCTTAAGTTTTCATGTTTGTAAATGTTGTATAAATAATACATGCATAAAGGATTATCTTGTTTGCTTGCAAACATGGCCTTATCATGAATGGGATGGCATAATCATATTTAAGTGATTAAAAGAAAATAAGAAAAACATAAACAAAAATATGATTACCGTAATTCATTGCATAATTTTTGCAGACGTATTATAGGTTGCAGACCAGTAAAAAATAAACAGTAAGTAAACTGCCACAGACCCCAGTGACAAATACGCACTCACTTCCGAAACCCAGGAGAAAAATACTTTCAACTCTCCTTGAAGTTCATGGCCCACAAAATGCTCTATTAGCAAAAATATTGAGGGCATGCAAATTGTGATTCTGCTGGCATAGGCAATTTGGGCCTACCGGGTGAGTAAAAAAAAAAGCTGAACCCAAATGTCTGGACTATTGTTTTAGTGAAGTTCTGCATGTAGCCCTTTCAAAATCTAGGATACGAAAGCCCAATTCATCAGCTTTCTTTTAGTACAAGAATCATTCAAATCACTTGTTTACTTTTTAAGTTATGGAATTTTAAACACAACCACCGTTTTAAAGTTCTAAATGTTTTAAACGTTGACATAATGACACAGGCAAACAATTAAGGGGATAGTTTGAAGTCAAGTAGTACAATACATGTAGCGTTTGTTTATTGTGTAAATCGAGGACACACACGTGCAACACCATCAATAAATCGAGGATAGGAACCAAATTGAGGACAACATCGCTTTTACAACGTGTATAAAACCAATGATAGCTGTTGCAAAAAAGATAGATCATAAACGAAGGAAAAGGGAAGAGGAACAATAGAATCCTTGATTTACACAATAACAAACATGCTAGTACATTATATGACGTACTTTTATACATTTATCATCATCAATTGGATTTTTATATAGGACCCCACCAGAGTTTATGCAAATAAGATAAGACCAACTGATAGTTGGTTACCACATCTGGCTAAAGGTCACATGTCGGTCAATGTGACCTGTTGGGAAATAGTGGTTGCATCTGGGAAAATGTATGTATCTTAATGACACGTAGGATCATTTGCAATTATGGTCCCTGGAAATACCAACCGTTTTAAAGACAGAAAACTCAAAGTGAAGAACATAAGGGCTGACAAATACCCTGTGAAATTATTCCGCATGAAGTGATATCGATCGTTTGGGAGAAAACTAACATTGAAGGTGGTTTTACAACAGGGTGCCAACAGGCGTATTCTTTAAAAAATTGTGTAGGTATTGGTTCAGCTATAGGATTAGGCCAAAAAAAACAAAAAAACAAATAGTCGGTTTCTGGTCAGACCAAAGTTCCAGAATTGGTGCGGCGATGAATTTAAAAAAAATTGGCTTTTTTTTCAAGCTTGGATTGTACTGACAAGGTGGGTACTATTTTGCTTTTTTTGTGTCCTCATATACCTTGGTGTCCTCCCATAATTTGCCTTGGTGCCCTCCATCATTTGAGGAGGTGCGGCAATAGAGGGCGCTGTTAGCTACCATGGAAAATTTGAAAGGAAAAAAAAAGATTGACGCATATGATCAAAATCGACCCACGCGGTGACCAGAGATCGATAACTATTTTTCATTACATCTTATTTGCATTTTGTGCTTTTTTATTTGTTTGAAGCAATAACCTTGCTCAAAATCTTAAGTAGGGGGCAAACAACTGAACCTAATGTACGGTAGATGTAGATACTCTACAGTACAGTTTGAAAAAACAGACAAAATAGATGCAAATTTTGTTTTGGTCCTTTAAAGGGAATATACAACATTTGCTTTTGCTGTTATTTTCAGAAATCGATGGATTTTTTTGGGGGGGGTTAGTATTTTTTAGCAAATATTGTTACATTGGCTTGTTTGAAGTTTTGGGTTTGAAAATGCTTGAAAAATCAAGAAAAACAATCATGTTCTTGTAGTCTGGTTCCCTGACCCCACTTCAGATTAAACGGAGCAATTAATAGACGTTGAGGAATTGTAAGGTCAGGGAATCTGTCTAGCTGCCTTGTACCCGTTCATAGGTGTGTAATCGATTGCAAACAAAATACTGACTAACTATCGCTAAATATGACAACTTGGGAGCAGTATTAAAAAAAGCAAGTTTTTTACAATAATGGTCGGCCGACCAGCATTGGAAATTGATACGAAAATACCACATTTTTTTGAAAATGACAGCCCACCAGGTGCCATGATTTTACAGGATGCTTTAGACTGTCATTCGCTAGCAGTACAGTAAGGTATTTTGGGATAACTTGGAGTTTTGGTTTTGATGTTTGCAAATATTCCCTTGAAATGGATTCTATTGCTAGCACTTCAACATTTGCTGTGTCCAATTCTGAAAAGCAACTGCTCGTGTACAATCCCTGAATCCGCACTCGGAACATGATCTCATTTAACCTTTTAGTGTACGTGACGTCTAGGTCACAGTCAAAGGGTAATTTTCACAGTATTTAATGAATCTTCAGAATTTTATTAAAATTAGTAACATAAAAGTTATCAATAATCCACAAACAGTACTTCTATACAAAGCAACTACACCAAACTACAAACATTAAGAGAGGCTTTGAATCACCCCACTGAAATTAAGAAGAGCTCAGCAAACGTCTAAAAGTGTTCCCGCATTTCCCGCCATATTCAGGCCACCTGTGTGGTGCACTAAGGCCACGCGGTGTGCTAAACTTTCCTTACAATACAGGGTGCATAAACAAAAACAATACTCAAAATGGCAGGGCCAATTTTCGAATGAAGGTTTGTCTGCAGATAGCACTTTTAAAATCTAGGATATACAAGCCCAATCAATAAGCTTTCTTTTTAGTACAAGAATCATTCAAATCACTCATGTACTTTTCAAGTTACGGAATTTTGAACACAAACACCATTTTAAAGTTCTGTCCATGGATCACACAAAAAATAAGCGTTCTTTCAGCAAAACGAAATAGAAATTTATATTGACTTTAAATGGCGGTTATGACCACCCACATGACAGGCTCTCGACCAATAGGAATGGGTAAACTGTCTCAGGTACGGTATTTTTGGTTATTTAAAAGCGGGTTTGCCCAAAAAAATGATGAAAAGGAATTTTGTGATAGCTTAGCCCCCAAAAAAGGGCTCCGGTTTCTGGTATGCGTGCGGGTCGCCATAGCCATGCGCGTCGGCAAAATTAAACAGTTTTTTTTTTTATGTAAGAATATGTCTCTAAACAGCCAAACTCACTGGTTTGACTGGAATCCTGCTGCTGCACAATTTTAACGTGTTTTTAGATGGGGTTACGATCAAGTATCAGCTTTATGTGGCCTCTCTGGGCTCCCATTTATTTTGCACTAAATTTAGTCGGGCACCATTTGCAGTCATCAGCCGACATTTGAAGATAAAAAAAAGGAAAAAAAAAGGAAAAAAAAGAAGCTGCGTCGCCGCACCACTTTGGGGGCAAGCTCCATGCCAGAAACCGAAGACTTTTTTTTGGCCTTAGGAAAACAAAAAACTGATAACTATGACTTACCGTTAGCAAGAACTTGCGGCATAATTCTGTCCACTAGGCTCAAAGCATGGTGGGGCATCTTAAGCATTAACTGTGGGAAAGACAAATAAGTAAAAGGACAAAATGAGAAAAAAAGAAAGAAAAACAAAGCCCCCCCCCCCAGGTTTTCAATTTCTATTTATTTATTGTTCGTGTTTGTCAGTTTTTATTTGTGATATGTATATGTGGCCTATGGCGCCACCAACGTCAAAATAGTCCATCACCCCCCCCCACCTAAATATTGTCTGCAGCCAAAATTTGAAGAAAAAAAATCACAGTTCTAAAACCAATTTGAAAAAAAAGGGGAACCCCACCCCAACAAGCCAAATCTTGGTTGCGCCACTGAGGGCCAAAGATATGCTTTTATGCATACATGTTAGACATCTTTGTATTATAATTAACATCTGTTAACATCTGTTCCTTTCAACAGAAAATAAAGGAATACAAATCTCCCCTAAACCCTAAAACTCTCTGAAAATGTGATTCGATGAGATCACCTGGGTTTGGGCTAATCGTGCCGTCGCCTCCGTGTACAGTGAAGACAGGTGGTGGGTTTGGCACAGTGCCAAGGCTTCCAACAGGTGGGGGATAGCTGACGTGTGATTGGACGATACCGAGTGTAGCTCCGATAACTCCAAAAGGGCCCTGGAGAGAGATTGGTAATACAGAAGTAACGTAAATAGGTGCCAGGTTGGCATGGCAACAGCAATGCAAACAAAAGGTTAAACAAAAATTAAATTGGAAAAATCAATGTTGAGAGTGAGAATTACTGATGCAATTCATACTTGTGCTGTGCAGGGTGAGTAAAAAAAAAAAGCGAAACCCAAATGTCGGGACTATTGTTTTAGTGAAGTTCTGCATGTAGCACTTTGAAAATCTAGGATATGAAAGCCCAATTCATAATTTTTCTTTTAGTACAAGAATCATTCAAATCACTCATGTACTTTCAAGTTACGGAATTTTTAACACAACCTCCATTTTAAAGTTCTGTCCACGGATCACAAAAAAGGTGTTCCTCCTTTCAGCAAAACGAAAACAATCCACACACATCCCTATGTGATTTGTTTTCGTTTTACTGAAAGAACACTCACTTTCTTGTGATCAGCACAATCTAGTCTCTACCCTCACAGGTACCCATTTATACACCTGGGTGGAAAGAGGCAGTTGTAGTAAAGTGTCTTGCCCAAGAACACAGCAGCATGTTCCCTGTCAGGGTTCGAAACCCACGCATCGCCGACATGAGTCGAATACTGTTACCACGGTGCTCCACATTAAAGTTCCCATCTCCACGACGACAACTTTTATCAAAGTTACAAAATAAATGATGCTTTTGCTGTGCTGCGTACCTGACGAGGAGCTCGGTGGTGAAACCCTGGAGATTCTCTTTGCAGCTGCTGACGATTTTATTGACAGCACCGAAAGCGGCCGTCGTTTCACCGCGCTTCTTTAAGAGGATTACTTTCCTGAAACATACGAAAGTCAGAGCATGTTACTTCACTGGCCAAGCAAATGAAAAATCTGTTAGCAATTAGTGTCCCTTCACTCAGTGTCCTTACAAGTCAGCCAGTTGAATAAAGTCAAGTTATAAGCCATTCAAGTGAACTGTGAATGTTAACCCTAACAGGACTCAACCCATCAAACCCCAACGGCATGTTTTGTTGGAATCTGTCAGGATGGGTACAGTACCCCTAAACTGACAGTCTTTTACAATCGGTTGGCACACCTCCAGAATCAAAGTCCAGATGTGTGTGCCGTTTCCCATATGGTGTTGGAATTTGCCAGGATGGGTATGGTTCCTAGTAAATCATGCTAGGGAGTTAGGGTTTTAAAGAGCCCACTTTGTCATTGTTCATGCTGCTATACTTGTGATCTTATTTGTGACTTGATGAACTTGTGACTTACAACGTGACTTAAATGTTATGGGTTTGGGATTTGACTTGTGATGGGCTTGTGATGGATTTGTGATGGACTTGTGATGGACTTGTGATGGACTTGTGATGGACTTAGGATGGACTTGTGATGGACTTAGGATTGACTTGTGATAGATTTAGGATGGACTTGTGATGGACTTAGGATGGATTTGTGATTGACTTGTGATGCACTTGTGGTGCACTTCGGATTTGACTTGTATGTACCCATGATTTGACTTGTGATGGACGTGTGATGGACTTGTGATTGACTTGTAATTGCCTTGCGATTGCCTCGCAACTGACTTGCTATGGAATTGTGATTGAAATGTGAAACAGATGTAATCGACTTGGTTGTGACGTATATGCGATTTGACTTGTGATTTGACTTGTGACTGAATTGTGATTGGGTTGTGATTGACTTGCATAGCTGCCAACTTTTCAAAATCCCAATTAGTAATCAACCCGTGCGGTCATTTTCAACTGCTCATATTATCAAAAGTGTATGTACCAGCCTTACCAACATCGAGTACAGGTACATGGTTTACATATACACGTTCATGTGCATACCCTTCTTGTTGTAAATAATAATGTACTGTAGGCCAAAAGATAATTAAAAAAAAAAAAAAATAATAATTAATTTGTTTTTTTAATAATTCTGTTTTAAAATTAATTTTGTTTTACTGTCTGTATTTGTTTGTTGAAGTCAAATAAATAATAACAATAATAACATGTGCGCATATTTTTTATGAGATGCATGCTGTCGATGTTGAGTTTCGAGTTTGTATCATGTTTTTACACACAATGATTTAGGGCCACCGTATGCCGCCAACATACCTTGCAAATGCATGCTGATTTATCTTTTCTGGACGTTGTGATAAACTCAAACTCTTATTACCAATCCTTCCAACCATACTCTAATCAAATTCCATGATTAAAATCTCGCACTGATGGGTCTCATCCCGGCAATAAGCGACCAAATGTGCTCACGATCGTCACGACCGTCACATACAGTCAGTACACACAACCAAACATCCACGAGATGCACACAAATGACACACCATTGAAAAATATTTTTAGTCTGGTCCTCAAGTACTCCACTGCGCACACTGCATTGATGTCTATCAGGTGCTTGACCGCATTGCTTATTAGACTTGTCACCAGTCCATCCATTATCGCAACATTTCGCCAAAAGTTTTCGGTCATAAACGCTACTTTACAATTTTTTATTTTTCGTTAGGTAGAAAATGGGAAATTCGTAATGTTTTAGTGGCAAATCGTATTTTCGTAATTTAACAAACAATTCGTAATAATTACGAAAAATTCGTAATAGTTGGCAGCTATGGACTTGTGATGGACGTGTGGTAAGACTTACGACTGAGTTAACCCCTTGCTCAACCGTTTGAAAAAAAAAAGTTTCAGAATCACCAGGGGTGTTTGTTTGGGTTTTTTTTTGGGGGGGGGAGGGGGAAGTGTTGTAATTGACATTTGCTCACCTGTAGAGGGCACCAGACTCATTGATGGATGCCAGGTTTAGGACAGCCTGTTCTGCCTGTTGCCATTTGCCTTGCAAGATGGCCCTGGAAAAGGACAGCTCCTGCTCGCATTCCATCCATATCTACCACATCAAGAAAAAAAGCAACAAGGTCACTAATTTTTTTCTTGAAAACTGTTTGGGCTGAGATTTTCCAGCAGTACCGTAGTAGTCAGGGTACGTGCGTTGGATCACAAGTAATTCACACGTCTAGTCACAAGTAAATCACAAGTTCAATTCACGAGTCAAGGGGGTGGAATGAAAAACAAAGGAAAACCTGTGTCACGTTTTATTTGTATAGCTTGTGAGTTTACATGGGACTGGAGGACTTGTGATTAGCTCGTAAGGCCAACAAAAAAAAGTCTCCGGTTTCTGGTATGCGCGCGCGTCGCCGTAGCCATGCGCGTCGGCAAAATGGAAAAGTTTTTTTTTCAATGAAAGATGATGTCTCAAAACCGCCAAACTCACTGGTTTGACTTGAATCCTGCTGCTGCCCAATTTTAACGTGTTTTTAGATTGGGTTATGGTCGAGAATAAGCTTTATGTGGCCTCTCTGGACTCCCATATATTTGCACCAAGTTTAGTCGGGCACCATTTGCAGTCATCAGCCGACATTTGAAGCAAAAAAATCAGGTAAAAAAAAAAAAAAAGCCGCGTCGCTGCACCACTTTTTGGGCAAGCTCCATACCAGAAACTGGAGACTTTTTTTTGTTGGCCTAATGGCTTGGGATGCATCGGATGAAGACAATGAAGAAATATTCAGTTTTAGAGGTGGGGGAAAACCTCAGGATATTCCAATGAAACACTCAAAATCAGGTCGGGACTGTCGGTCTGGGTGGCATTCGAACTTGGGTGGCAGAGGTGGGCGGCAAGTTAAGTACGACTGCGCAAACCTCGCTACCACTTTCTGAAAAAATGAATGCAGGGTTCAACCTTAACTTTTTTTTCAATAGCCAGCCGGGCTACTGAAACAGAAACTATAGCTCACAGGCATTTTCTCTGGCCCGCATGTTTTTCTTTTATACAGTGTCTCATAAACAACAATGTGCATAATAAATGCGTATCCTGAGGCAATCTTGTCAGTGTTTTTAATATTAAAACAGATCTTATAATTTAACCATCAACAGTTAAAAAAGAATTAAACACAAATTGATACAGGTTTGCTTTATGAATTTAATTATTTATTTCTTCCTGTCCTTTCATCTTTGCCGCCCATTAATTTTTGACTCGCCAGCCGGGCTACTTTAGGAATAGTTTGACTAGCCCGCCACTGATTTGATAAGCATTTGGCTAGCAGGCTACCTCTAAAGTCGAACCTATGAATGCGAAGCAAATTTTACGTCAAGAATCATTCGCTGTGAAATTTGCCAGAGTTGGAAAGTTTAGATGTTGGAACTTTTGCGAATTTGCAACGCATATGCTTGTCGTGATGTCACATATTAACGTTTGATTTCGTTTTTCGTGCCGGGTGTACACAGGCGTTTACACTGCCCCCTTGCAGTGTTGTAGTACTCGTACTCGGTACTCGTACTCGACTACTACTCGAGTACTTTTTTGGAGTACTCGTACTCGAATGTCAAAGTATTTGTACTGGAAATGACGGTACTCGTACTCGGGCAGCAACGTACTCGTACTAGACATGTCAAAACTGTACTCGCTCATTAAAGTACTCGTACTCGAATAGCAGTACTCGGGGGAATTTTTTTTATAGCTTCACTTACCATGGCCTTATTTTATCGATACTTTCAGTTTGAAATGGTTGATTGGCTTGTTGAGAAATCGAGATTTCCTGATTTTCTTCTGTGCAAGTCCGGACAAACACATTTCACAGCTAGCCGTGAGTGGGTCTGTTTATCGGTCTGACTGGGCTTGGGCCAATTATACGCACAATGAACCATTTGCCGTATGGCCGTATTCGGAAATGCGAGTGCGAGTACTCGTACTCGGAAGTACTAGTACTCGTACTCGTTCTCGTACTCGGAAGTATAAGTACTCGTACTCGGAGACCCGTTCTTGTACTCGGAGGTATAAGTACTCGTACTCCTATTCGTACCCGGCAACCTAAGGACTCGGCAGTGCTCGGTACTCGGAAAAAAGTACTCGACTACAACATTGCCCCCTTGTTCACCTTTGCGTGTTTAGAGGGTGCTGGGAACCGGTCTCTGGCCAGTTGAATCAGGTCCTTGGCCGCGGCGTACATTCCCTGGTCCCCGTGCAGTCTGGCCTGGTTGCAGATGGCCAAACACAATACCTCGCTGTCCATGGTGATCAAGGAGGTGTTGGCTGACCCCCCAGGCAGGTCCAGAGATCCCGAGTGGAGTAGAACTTGGTCACAGAGCGAGGACATAGTCCTACATGGGGGGGGGGGGGAGGGGGGGGGAGGGGGGGCGAATCAGAAGGAAAGACATTAAAGGGAATATACAACATTTGCAAACATCGAAAAATAAAACTACCAAGTTTTTACGAAATACTTTACTAGGATGTTTGTAAATGACAGTATAAAGCATCCTGTACAATTATGGCACCTGGTGTGAAGTCATTTTCAAGAAAATAGTATTTTTTGTATACATTTCCAACGGTGGTCGGCCGACCACCATTGAAAAAACCTAACTATTTTTCAACCACTGATTCAAATTTACCATTTTTTTCAGTCCAAATTTAGTTTGCTATTGGTTACATGTTCATGAAAGGGTGCAGGCAGGCTAGACAGGTTCCCTTACCTTACAATTTTCTGGCATCTATAAATATTGATCTATTTCATCTTTAGTGGAGTCAGGGAACCAGAATGCTTGAACATTTTTGTTTTTCTTGGTTTTTCCGGCATTTTCGAACACAAAACCTCAAACATGTCAGTGTAACAATATTTGATCTATTATACTAACCCCTCAAATAGTTCATTTCTGAAAATTACAACAAAAGGGTTTGATAAACAATCCCTTTAAAGGCATATACATGTAGAATTGTTGCTTTTGATGCAGTTTGTTCGTTTTCAATAATAACACCACTGAAATTCCAATGAAGAACGTTCAAAACCTGACCTGTTGAAGTTTGAGCTCAGTGAACACGAGTATAACACTTTTTTTCAAAAACACAGTGAACGTGAAGCATTTACATGTAGGATTATTGCTTTTGATTCCTGTTTGTTTGTTTTCAATAATAACACTGGTCACTGAAATTCCAAAGAAGAACGTTCAAAACCTGACCTGTTGAAGTTTTGAGCTCAGTGTACACGAGTATAACACTTTTTTCAAAAACACAGTGAAAGTGATTTCGTCAATAGACAAATCAGGCAGCAGCCATTAGAAGCCTTTGAAAGCTGTTATGTCTAAAGCTTGGCCTACGTGACCCAGCCGACAGCCGGGTACCAGAATGTCAGTGTCGCCATTGTAGTAGGCAAAGATTGCATAGTGCCATGGGTAGAAGTTAGCAGGCAAGCTGTTGGATGGCAAAAACTGTGTTTAAAGGGAATATGCATCATTTGCTTTTGCTGTAATTTTCAGAAATGAATGGAATTGGGGGGTTGGAAATATATAGCAAATATAGTTACACTTACTTTTTTGAGGTTTTGGGTTCGAAAATGCTATAAAAACCAAGAAAAACAATCATTTTCCGGTAGTCTAGTTCCTTGACTCCATATAAGAAGAAACAGGGCAGTTTACATACATTGGGGATTTGTAAGGTCAGGCAACCAGTCTAGCTGGCTTGTACCCGTTCATAGGTGTGTAATCGAGTGCAAACAAGTGCGATGGTCAATTGGGGCCAGTATTTGGAAAAAAAGCCAGTTTGTTTCCAACGCTGGTCGGCCGATCAGCGTTGGAAATTGATACAAAAATACCACTTTTCTTGAAAATGACAGTATACCAGGTGCCATGATTTTACAGGATGCTTTACACTGTCATTCACTAACAGTCCAGCAAGGTATTTCAAAATGATTTGGTAGTTTTATTTTTTGATGTTTGCAAATGTTGTATTTTCCCTTTAAATTGCAGAGCCAACACCCAGTGCTGGGTCGTCATGATTATGACAAGCGTACACGGCACAGGTTGCTGCCATTATGCCATTTGATAAAGAAGCCCTACTAAAGAAGCCCTACTAAAGAAGCCCTACTGTCTAGTTTACAACGCACGCCATGGTTGCTAACCTAAGGCTTGTCTCCTGCAATGGTGACTGATCAAGGGGAAACCGGAGGCACAATTGCAGAATACCCCGCCACTCGATCTATCCACCTCGTAGCCGGCTACGAGGTCACGGTTGGTTGACCTCAATAAACATTCTCTGCGCTACTTGTATGTACTATGCGTCATGCTCCATTGCACTCCCACTTCATAACCGCGTAGCCGGCAACAGGGTAGTTGGTTTGGACTTAGAATGTTTTCAGCAACTCCCATTCCTTTTGTGTTGCTTCGTTCTCAAGCATATTCAAGGGGACTCCCACTCCGTATCCGCGTAGCCGCCAACAGGGTGGTTGGTTTGGACTTAGAATTTTTTTTCAGCAACTCCCATTCCTTTTGTGTTGCTTCTTTCTCAAATAATGGACCCCCACTCAGTATCCGCGTAGCTGGCATGGACTTGAATTGTTTCTTTTCCAGTGATTCCAACCTCGTAGCCAGAGAATTTAGGGGTGTATTTCCGAGTGGCGGGGTATTTTGCAATTACTCCAAACCGGATGGCCATGTGGTACTCTGACGTCACACAATTAGACCCTATTTTTAATACAGGATAACATATTGCTAATGCAGAAAGTGGACCAATATTGCGCTAGATTCTTGAAGTTGGGGACGCACAAATATGAGCCTGAGCCACAGCTGCAGACAGAACCCAAGTTTGGCAAGTGTGCCTCACCTGTGACCATACATCTGCCAGAGGGCGCTCTGCTGGGCCAAACTGGTTTGAACCAGTTGGGGCTGGTTGTGTTTGCAGTTGAGCATGTCACTCTTGGCCAGGTACTCGAACACACTGGAAAAAATAAAACACAAGGTTCAGATTATGAACTCCATCTCTACTCTCACAGGTGCCCATTTCTACACCTGAGTGGTAAGAGGCAAACGTAGTAAAGCACCTTGCCCAAGAACACAACAACCTTGTTCCCACAGAGCTATATTAAATTACTAGAGCGCTAACTCGCCATTCTGCGCGCGGAGACGCTTTGAAGCCGTCCTGGGCGCAGACATTTTGGATTCATGTGCGTGTTTGTAGAACATAATGAAATTAGATGGATTGAATTTTGAAAGGTTACTCTACATGCAACGTCCAAGTAGAACATATGCAAACAACCTAAGCGCGTCATTGACGGTTAAAAAAAAAGTGATGGCAAAAAGCATCTGCAGCGAATACGCGCAGGCCTTGCGCAGTTTGTGTAGAGCAAAATGACACGCTCATTTGCTGATCGTGCGTTTCGGTTTTGGGCGTATTGGCTTCGATAACGCACCGGTATGGAATACAAACGCAGATATGCAAATAGCCGTACAAAAGCCGTACACAATTTCTAGGTCTCCATAGGTTTGTGCACAAACATGGATGCGCCCAGCAGGCATTACTTTGTACACGAAGTTAGCGCTCTAGTAATTTAATATAGCTCTATGATTGTTCCCCATCAGGGTTTGAACCCACGTACCATGGCACAAGTCGAACACCATAACCACTGGATCACAGTTGTTCTGAAAGACAGCACGCAACAGTCGATCTTACAGTGTATCGCTTTTCGAATATTAAGTTTTCATGTAGTTATAAATCAAATTTGTGGAATCATTTTGTTTGGCAACTCAGCTCCCGATTTCATGAAACTCATCGTAACTTATAATGCATCGCAATGCTGCGACGCGTCCTATCCCTACGATGCGCCGCAGCTGCGACGTGTCCTGCGATCCATTTCACAAAACATGTCGCAAGAGCGACGCGTTGTAGGTGTATTTATAGCACAACTCGGTGACTGTTATATGTATTTATTCAGAGTACAGTAAATAGTCGTCTGATATTCAACAAATTGTCGTCGGATCTCATCTTGATAAGTTTTTAAAACGAAAAACAAAATGGCGGACATGTGATGCAGCTTTAAAGGAAAACAAGCTCTCGGTGGACTGTATAGCTACTTTGAAATTTCAACTGCAATATTCCAGGCAAGTTCATAATTCTTCAAGGCATTTTCTGTTTTTTGTCTCAGTATTATAGTCTCATTTATGTAATTTTTGTCGCATGAAACTGGCTAAAAAAAAGGACGCTTCTTATTTTGCGATGACCACTAGACACGGCCTAACTTGTGACATGTTGTAAGCCGTTGACAAGAAACTTACGACGTGTTCACCACATCGCAAGTTTTGTTAAATGGAGCATACGACGTGTTACGAGCTGCGACGTGTAACTCGCGACGTGTTGTAAGCCGTTGTCAAGGAACTTACGACGTATTCACCACATCGCAAGTTTTGTTAAATGGAACATACGACGCGTTACGAGCTGCGACGTGTAACTCGCGACGTGTTATAAGCCGTTGTCAAGGAACTTACGATGTAGTCACGACATCACAAGTTTTGTTAAATGGAGCATACGACGTGTTACGAGCTGCGACGTGTAACTCGTGACGTGTTATAAGCCGTTGTCAAGGAACTTACGACGTATTCACCACATAGCAAGTTTTGTTAAATGGAGCATACGACGCGTTACGAGCTGCGACGTGTAACTCGCGACGTGTTGTAAGCCGCTGTCAAGGAACTTACGACGTGTTCACCACATCGCTAGTTTTGTTAAATGGAGCATGTGACGTGTTACGAGCTGCGACGTGTAACTTGCGACGTGTTGTAAGCCGTTGTCAAGGAACTTACGACGTATTCACCACATCGCAAGTTTTGTTAAATGGAACATACGACGCGTTACGAGCTGCGACGTGTAACTCGCGACGTGTTATAAGCCGTTGTCAAGGAACTTACGATGTAGTCACGACATCACAAGTTTTGTTAAATGGAGCATACGACGTGTTACGAGCTGCGACGTGTAACTCGTGACGTGTTATAAGCCGTTGTCAAGAAACTTACGACGTATTCACCACATAGCAAGTTTTGTTAAATGGAGCATACGACGCGTTACGAGCTGCGACGTGTAACTCGCGACGTGTTGTAAGCCGCTGTCAAGGAACTTACGACGTGTTCACCACATCGCTAGTTTTGTTAAATGGAGCATGCGACGTGTTACGAGCTGCGACGTGTAACTTGCGACGTGTTGTAAGCCGTTGTCAAGGAACTTACGACATGTTCACCACATCGCAAGTTTTGTTAAATGGAGCATACGACGTGTTGCGAGCTGCGACGTGTAACTTGCAACATGTTGTAAGCCGTTGTCATTGAACTTAGGACGCGTTCACCACATCACAAGTATTGTGAAATGGAACATACGACGCGTTCCGAGCTGTGACGTGTAACTCGCGACGTGTTGTAAGCCGTTGTCAAGGAACTTATGACGTATTCACCACATCGCAAGTTTTGTTAAATGGAGCATACGACGCGTTACGAGCTGCGACGTGTAACTCGCGACGTGTTGTAAGCCGTTGACAAGGAACTTACGACGTATGCACCACATCGCAAGTTTTGTTAAATGGACCATACGACGCCTTACGAGCTGCGACATGTTACACGTCGTAACTCGGGCTGCGATGCTTCAAAGCGCTTGTTTAGGGGGCAGCACCCGATTACACGAAGCGCTACGAGGCGTTGCAACCCGAGTTACGACGTGTAACATGTATAAAAATGTTTGTTATTGTGTGCCATTTGAGTGAATATCCCAGATTTGCCTTGAGCATCGCCACAACAGCACCGCCACAACATAAACTAATTCTAGCATTTCAAAGAGTAAAATTATTGGGTTTTTTTAATTGATATTTTATCTTACCTTGCAGGATCAGTGGAACTGAGAGCCTTGTGCTGGGCAAAATTTTGAATTCCCAGAGAAGTCAGATACTGAAGTAAAAAAACAAAGTTGGAAAAGTGAAAATTTAAAAAAAATATATATCTGTCCAAATTTCAGTAGATATTTTTCTTATGATACAAAAGCGTTTCCAAGGCTTCGAAAATCTTAATCCTTAATTTTGCTTCTACAAAACCAAAAAGAACCACATATGTGATGCGATCAAGCTAAATGAGTCGTTGTTCGGAAATTTTTATGTGGAGAAACAGGCCAAAATAGGGCCAGTTCATCACATTTCTTGGTGTTCCGACTTCCATAATTTTTTAAACTAAAGATGGCATCAGCATGCAGTTTTCACAGCAGCAATGCTGAGATTGTGCTCTTTTGAAATCTGTAATAATTTTTTTTGACCAGGGTCGACAAACGACTGAATGTAGCTTGATGGCATCACATCTTTAACACTTGATTGAGCTTGTTTCATTTTGTCAGAACACATTTTATCTTAGTTTAGAGTTCAGGTTGGCGTAGCGGTACTTTCCTCGCCTTCCACTGCTGTGACCCGGGTTCGAATCTCGCCTGGGCCAATATGTGGATTGGGTTTTCAGTCCCTGCCTGGTTCCGTGGGTTTTTCCCAGAATATTTTTCTGGGCTTTTCCTCCCACCTCTAAAACTGTAATTTCTTCTCATTGTCTTCTCTCCACAGGTTTCTTCAGGCTTGCGAGCTACAGTGCCTAGGGCGCTTTTGATGAATCCTTGGTTTCATTACCAGAAATGATTAATAATAATAATAATAATAATAATAACTCCATCCTTCAACGATGTGTCTAGAATGTTACAAAATAAAATAATTTCCTCCGTTTCGTGTTGCGAGGAAGTCAAATCAGCTACCGGTACTTTCATCGTACTACCTCTCAAACCACATTGTATTTGTATATTACTCACTGGCAGGTTCAAGGCATCTGAGCGAGTAATGGAACGATCGAGAAGGTACGAGACATCCTCCCCGTTCATCTTTTCTAGACGATACAACCAACCCTGCAAAGAAGCAACCACACTGCAAACCGTAACTGTCCCAAAACCTATCCACATTTTATAACAATTATAAAGTTGAGCAAAGAAATTGACTGGGGCGGGGTTTGAACCTGCGACCTCCGGACTGCCGTTCCGGTGCTCTACCAACTGAGCTATCAAGCCCTATGTTGGTGGTTTCCAAATGTATCCTACCGGAGTGATCCCCGTTTGCTTTCTCCCAGCTTTGTAGCATTTCTAAATGTTGCTGGTATTGCGGGTTTGATAGGGTGTGATCCCTGGCTCATAGCATGTGGAAGGCTTCTGACTAGCACCCCTTGAACAAAGACATTGATAAATTGGGGTACAGCTACCGTGGGTCTCGATAGCTCAGTTAGTAGAGCACCGGAGCAACAAACCGGAGGTCGCAGGTTCAAACCTGGTATAGAAGGTAAGTGCACAACAGAAAATCAGCTGATCTAAGGAAATATTGCACGCCTGCAAATTATAAATGAGTAAATGACACCTACCAGGGCGTGTTGAAGGCAAACGTTATCGTTCCTCTCATGCGCTATCCGGATCGCTTCCTTCAATGCCAACAGTGCTTCGTCCCTGAAAAAAAACGTGAACTAGCGATTTCAAAATTTTACAAAATACTGCAAGTAAAACTTGCGCGATCCCCCTGGCGTCCTGCCAGTTTGTATACATGTAGGGGCAGTCAGTAAGGACAATTTTGAGTGACAGCATTGATTGTCCAACCAGCAGGTCCCAATTTCGGTAACACACCGGACTAACATATGTTAGAGTCATTAGTATCTCTCCAGAGACCTCGTAAATATCCATATTGGAAAGGATTTTTTCGGCATCGACTTTCTCTCCACAGACCACCTTTCAACTTACAGTGAACTGGAACACACACACGGACATACAGAAGAAATAGGCAATCGCAATATCCCCCTGTCTAGCTTAAAAGCCTGGAGGATAAAAACTACCTCCAATCAACTATTTCGGCGTTCCAGAGTCACAAGGAATAAAAAATGTATTTAGGGCAACAGCATTGTCCAGTATGAGTGAATGTCAGTGCCAGAGGATGGCGACATGTCAAAGTGTGCGTTCAACCTATGAGTGTTTGTCAACCTGTGAATCGTGTGCGTTGTTTGCATGACCAGTTCTCAATTGCCCCTTCTGAATAGGCACAATTTCAACGGCCACTGCACTAGTATAGGTAATAAAAACACAGGACTTGTGATTGCTTGTGATCCATCACAAGCGCCTCAACAACAGTCACAACATTTGTAAATTTCAAGGTGAAATTGGTTTAGTTGGTAACCAGCCTTTACCTGTGGCCAAATGTACAGTGCATGGCGGCCAGATTGAGCGCAGCGTAGCGGAAACTCTTGCTGGTCCCCTCATCCCGGTTGTTGTTACTCTCGTTTACCCTGGGCAAGAGGTGGTCAAAGTAGCTGTGAAGACTGTCGGTGGCGCCGCAGAAATCACTCAGTCGAAGGCCGTTCAGATAGGACAGAAAATGCTGTAATTCCAAAGCAATTTTTTGAGACACTTCTTAGCACAGACACTCTTGTTTTACTATACTCTCGAGGACAATGCATTGTGTTTCCCTTTGTCCCTGTAATATAACACTCTCCCATAGACTAAGCACACGAACCTACTACAGAGGACCGTTTTGAACAAAAGACCCAACGCCCGATGACTGAAAGGATCTGTTGTTCTCCCCTTTGTGTATCGGTCCTCGAAGGTTGTGTAGAACACAAGCAGCTTTTCATGCTAAGGCCGGAAAAAAATTGTGTGTTTAACGTTAACCTAGCCCACCTGGAGTTTTAGCCGCCAACTTGCCCACCAAATTTTTTTTATTACCACATTTAGCCAAAACTTTAAAGCTGGAGTCCATCATTTGCAGCTATCCAAAAAGTAACTGGCGTAATTCTTGTTGAAAAATGTACTTGGTTGAGAGATAATAAGGGGACTAAACTCCCTGTGAAATTCTTATTTCTGGAAAGCTGTCATTTTGAAGAAATCAACAAAAGAAGGCCTTTCCAACGGTGCTTCTTAAGATGCACCGTAGGAAACTTAAATTAGTAGCTCGTTTTGTTTTGCGGCGAAGCGCGCGCAAGCATTGGCATGACGTACATGCGCACAATTGCTATAATTCGTCGGATCAGTGTGCGACATCACTTAGCTGCAATCGGCTCATTGAGAACATGTCTCGGACGCTGAATTCAGGCCCAATTCAAAACATGATTCAGCAACTTTGGATTTGAAATCGAGATCCTAGAATGCTGTTTTTCTGGGAATATACAGCTGAAGCTGCTCTGAAACTTCATCAGGTTAGTTGTTCAATACCCTTCTTTAGATTTTGAGCAAGTTTGTTGCTTCAAACGAACAAAATGCACAAATTACAAACGATGGACTGTACCTTTAAAGTTACGTATATTTGCAAAAGGGTACCTCTTTTAACAAGTGACTTTCCTTTTCTCTCTTAGACTTTAGTATGTCCTTTTAGAGTATATGATTTGCAGCTATCCGAAAAGTAACCGACAAAATTATTGTTTAAATGTATACTTGGTTTAAAGATAGTATTGGCACTACACTCCCTGTGAAATTATTCTTTCTGGCATGCTGTCATTTTGAAGAAAACAATCAAAGAAGGTAATTTCCAAAAATGCGTAGTACACTACATGTAGTACATGGTACAGTAAGCCAATGAGCAAGTCTTTCTCACAAATGTCTTCAATTAGCAAATTTTGGGTTCACAACTTGAACACAAACCACCCTAACTGAACAGTGTCTTCCTGAAATGACATCACAGAAACTGCATCCTCAGTTGTCCAGAAAGGTTTAAAGAAGTGCACTTTTCAGTAAAAATAATGATGGCTGAAGCGAAGTTAGCTTTGTGAAGTGGACTTGATAAGAAGTAAAAATAACCAAAAATGGATGTCAAATAATGTTCATACATTTAAGAGGAACAAAAAGTTGCACAAAATGTGTTCCTGAGAAAAATTCACTTTACGGGCCCTTTAACCCTAAAAGGGCTGGGGAGGGGGGCGGAATCCGCCCCTCCCCCTCCACTTTTTCCGCGATAGCCTTAAAAAAAAAATAATTTCGTGACCTGAGCTATTATGACTTTTTAGCCTCAAGCCTTGCGCATCTTTTGACACCCAAAAAATAAAAATCAGACCACGGGTTGCCGCAAGGCGAAAAATTTTCCGGAAAACTGAATTTTCCCATATACGTCGTGTACAAAGAGCAGGATTACCATTTGCATATATGAATAATTAATTAGCCATAATTCCAAAACCCTATAGTCATGAAAATTCTTGGGTAAGTTTATGATGAGATGCTCTATGCATGTACCGAGTTTCAAAATTTTTCGTCACTCGATGGCCGAGATCTTGGGGGGGGGGGTGCCCCCCCCCCCCCCCCCCCCACCGGCTGAGAGATGGTCAAACTAACCCGGCCCTTTTAGGGTTAAGTTTAACAAGACTGTAGGAGTGGACAGCGCAAGAAACAAAGAAGATTTTCAAATTTACCGTTTCAGCCAGGTCAGGATTAGAGTCTCTGAGGGCCGCGATTTGCTCTTGTAGCGTGCTTGGGTCGAGGGCCCTAGCGTCGTCGTTCTGCAGCAGGCGGGCCTGTTGTGCAATGAATGACTCGGCCTGCTGACGATTGAAGACTCGCTGGGATGGAAGGTGCAAAGTGCCTGCCCTGGAATACATAATACGCCAATGATATACCTGAATAATAATTCGGGAGGCTACTCATCCTTACTTGCAGCTGAGAAGTTGAATTGCGAAGGACGCGGCTACAACGTGGTCGAGCCGCAGGCTTCTAAAGGTGCCTTGGGCTGCTGCCATTGGACCCATGTCTGGCACGGACACAGCCAGAGATCGAAAGTGTTGATTTTTACGGAGGGAGGAAAACCGGAGGGCCCTGAGAAAAACCCTTGTGGCACAGGAGAGAACCAACGCACAACTCTACTCACATATGGTCCGAGCCGGGAATCGAACCCGGGCCACAGTGGTGAGAGGCAAGCATTTTACGCACTAGCCACCCATGCCAAAGAATTACATGTAAGTCAGAGAACCATTAGGTTGATAGTCTGGTTCCGAGACCAAGAGATCCTGATATCAAATATTGTCAGGTCAGGGAGCCAGATGGTTGACTGCCGTAACTACAGCCGCGGCGTTTTTCGTTTTGATTTTGACCCTCACCTTTGTACTTGTCCATTTTCGGGTTTTGAGCCGTCCAGTTCGTCTTTGGTCATTGTCCCCCCGTCGTCAACTGTGCTGACGTCCATCATGGCCTGGCTGCGTTCCCCCTCGGTCAGATGACCGTCTAGTCCACTGAGGTAGACCTTGAGATTCTTGTACAACGATGAAACTTGGTCAAACGACAGCTTGTCGTATGACAGGACCATGCGCCGAATGAAAATACCTGTTAAATGATAAAAAAATAATGTACTGTGCTGAAAATATGGTACATATTTTCAGACTAGCTTATGGCAGGATTGTGCAACTAACAGACTTTTTTCTTCTGCAATTTTCTGTAACGAAAATACCCCTCCCCTAAAAAATGAACACTATCATTACATTTTTAGTACCTTCTGATTTGAAAAATAGGCGTGTGGGAAAAAGCACACCTGGATTTTTCTATAGGCGTGTGATTTTACTAGGCGTGTGATTTTTGTAGGCGTGGATTCTGTGGTCCAAACTGGGACTGAACAATCTGGTATTTTTTTAATGATATTCATCTTGGTTTACAGTAAATCCATTGCAAGAGCTCATAGAAATATAATTATGCCACAAATGTATGTCGAGGTGTGCAGTACAGAGGGATTCAGTCGGAAAGCTTTAGACATTTGATGAGGTTTGGGTGCGATCGGGGTCAGGTTTGCATTGTGACGTTCAACAAATGGGAAATCCTTTATCCTATGCCAGTGAAAGAGTGCCATCTACACTCAACCAAAAAAAGAAAGTCCCCCCCCCTTAATACTTTTTGTCTAACTCGAAAACTACTGGGCACATCTTGCTCAAATTACAACTGATCGGTACAGAAATTTCTTAGCAATCCAGCCATATTCTTTGTTTGGCCCAAAACAGTGATAATGTGTACAAAATTATGCAATTGATGACAAATCGTACCAAAAAAAAGTTGCATTTTCGGATACGTGCAAGGTGAGTGTGAACCGCAACTTGCACGTAAACAAAAGTGCAACTGTTTTTGGACCAAACAAAGAGTATGGCTGGATTGCTAAGGAATTTCTGTACTGATTGGTTGTTATTTGAGCGAGAGGTGCTCAGTAGGTTTTGAGTTAGACAAAACAATATTGGAAGGGGGGACTTTCTTTTTTGGTTGAGTGCTTCTCATACATACTAGGCAGAAGGTACACACGAACACAAAATCATTGGCCCGTAGCTTCCGAGATAATTTCAAACTTGTGTTTTTGTTTTTTTAGAATACTCACCGAGGATGCTATGTCTGTGGACGGGTGATTGGCCGTTGTTACTGTCCAATAGCTTGTGTAGTGACAGAACAAAGTCTGCAAGCGCTGAGAGTCCCGACGTATTGATGGAACTCAAGCTTCAGAACAATAGGAATGACAAAAAAATTAAATAACAAAATATTTAATCCAAGCTGCCATCTCTGCGGCCAGTCCTTTTCGCTGTTAAAGAAATAACCTACATAAGTAAAGACAAGTTTGCGGTAGCACCATGTGAATAAATCTCTTTTGTGAGTATGTGTGGTTCTGAAAAGAACCAGAGTCCCTCCGGTTCTTTTCAGAACCACACATACTCACAAAAGAGATCTATTCACATGGTGCTACCGCAAACTTGTCTTAGTATCTTTCCACCATGCAAACCTTAAAATCTCAACCTACATGTACATATGGTTTTGGCAATAATATTCACAAAAATATCTAGAAATAGTTTGTCAATGTAGGCCTGGGCGGGCAGTTGATTTTTCAACCCGAGAACTCAAAGAGAAATACCTGCGAGTAGTAAATGACATTTACACATTATTCATAAATACCTCAGACAGTTTAGCTATTCCTATTGGTCGAGAGCCCGTCACGTGGCCGGTATTAAACGGATGATAAAGACATGGCTAGCTGGTCTTAAACACTTTTCCAGTGTCACAATAAAATGTGGACTCCTAAAAATCCAGTGCCTCTTACCATTTCATTGGTTGAACGTTCACAATCCTCACGTAGGCATGCGCAACACTACAAGCGAGTCAGAATTTTATAGTTCTAAATTCAAAACGCAACGCCCCAGGTGCGTTCTGCGTGACATCGCGCAGAACATCTTACGCGCGCGTCAATCTCCATAAAAGGGTTGTTTACATCTTACTCGCCAGCTGAACACTCCATTATTTTGCTAGAGGGATGTTTCAAAAAGCATGAAGTGAACTTGTTGAAGAAAATCGGGATTTTTTGAACGAATTATTTGATATTTTTTTACCGATAAGGTATTTATGAATGGGAATAAATATGTGCTCGGTCGGTATTTATCACTCTGTTTAATACCGCTTAGAGTCTGGGTGCTGATAATTACCCTCGCCTCCGGCTCGGGTAATTATCAGCACCCAGACTCTAAGCGGTATTAAACGAGTGATAAAAACCTCCGGAGCACACATTTATTCCCTCATTAATAACAAGCAAAATGCATGCAAGCCACAGCACATTCTCCACCAAGCCATTTCTTGTTGACTATAGGCCAGTCATAGATTGCGCGAATGCGAATGGGTGACATCGTAAAAGTTGAAAACATTTCAACTTCAGCGTCAAATTCGCGTCAAATTCGTATCGAATTCGCATTCGCATGAAGTATGAACTGGCATTAAGTCAATGCTCCTAAAATAAATTTGTTATTCATGAGTACATTCAACTCCGGCTAAACCAACATCGTACAGGTACAACTCGTCAAATCGCTCAAGTCGGCCGTCTGACTGAAGTCCTGATTGTCGGTAATGCATTTCCACTGAATTTTTTATTTCTAAGTCGGCTTTTATAAGTCGCCATTTCACTCAAGTCATCGTGTTACTCTCAGGTGCTTACCATTAGATTTTGTTTACTGAGATTGTAAAGTGAAGGAAAATATAATAATTTTATGAAATAATAAGGAACTCACGTCTCAACTAAATCTTTGCTTAATTCCTCATCGATTTCCTTCACTTTTATCATCAGGTCTTGGAACTCCATATCAGAACTCTGTGGAGAAAAATTGGAATTAAAGGGAATATGCATCATTGGCTTTTGCTGAAATTTCCAGAAATGAACTATTTCAGGGGTTAATATAATAGATACATGTTTGAAGTTTTGTGTTCAAAAATGCTGGGAAAAAACCAAGAAACACTCAAATGGTGGAGTAGTCTGGTTCCCTGACTCCACTAAAGATAAAATGGATCAATTTATAGAAGCCGGAAAATATAGGTAAGGGAACCCGTCTAGCTGGCCTGCACTCGCAGGTGAACATGTAACCAATAGCAAACAAAATTTGGAGTGAAAAAAAAAGAAGGTGGATTTGGAGCAGTAGTTGAAAAAATAGTAAGGTTTTTCCAAAAGTGGTCGGCCGACCACCGTTGGAAATTTTTACAAAAATACCATTTTCTTGAAAATGACTTCACACCAGGTGCCATAATTTTACAGGGTGCTTTAGACTGTCATTTACCAACATCCTAGTGAGGTATTTTGTTAAAACTTGGTAGTTGTATTTTTCCATGTTTGCCAATGTTGTATGTTCCCTTTAAAACATTGCTTTTCTTGCTTTGAGAGTGCAATAAACCGTACTCAAGACAGTTTACCCATTCCTATTGGTCGAGAGCCCATCTTGTGACAAGGTCTTAAACGATTGACAAAAGACATGGCTGGCTGGTCACATGAAATTTGGATCCTATGCAATCCGGTGCCAGCACCGTTTTATTGGTTGAACATTCACGATCCTCACATACATGTATGTGCAACTGACCTATCTCCGTTTTGCAAGTTAGCCACGCCCCTTAGACAACCCTATGGAGTTTTTGTACACTAAGGTTTGTTTGTCCCGGATTTTGCGCGTTTCACTTCCATTTATATATTATTGGACAATATTTCACAAGCTGCGTTGACGTGATCCTAAGGCCATTCCACCGCGATAGGTCAATACTACTCCGTGAGTCCGTATTTCATGGTCCTAAATTCAAACTACACTGGTACATCTGCGTTGTGCGCCACATCACGCAATACACGCGACACGTACGTCAATCTCCATTATAAGGATTGTTTACCAGAGGGCCTTATTGTTGTATAACTAGAGCTATTTTGTTGATCGAAATCGTTGACCCAGTCGGCTGACTAAATGACACTCAAAAGTGACATTCTGATATTTTTTGACACATTTGAACAGTTGGCAATGACACCTTCTTGAATATCAGTGGTTTAATTTTGTGGAAAGAGGGCAGGGCTTTGATTTATGAGGGGTTAAAGATGACGATGACAAACAGAAAATATATTAAAAAGCAAGATAGCGAACTGCAAAAAAAGGTAGGAAAGTCATATTTTCTTTGAAAGTGCTTTCAAAATTACAACTAAGTTTATCTGAAGGAAAAAGACTGTTTTAGCCTGCAACTTTGGTACTTTACAGTCATCTGCAAAGTGCAAAAGTCAGTTTTGAACAGAACTCGTAAAAATAGAGGTGTCCTAAAGATAAGGATTACCATGTTTTCAGTCCCAGATTCATGTGTTTTCAACATTTGAGAAGAATTTTGCCACCTGACGCTGCTTCTTTTCTTCATAGATATTATCTCAAAGAAGCCTAGGTCAGTCATTGCAACACTGATAAAAAGAGTCTTCATCATGTCCATACTTTGGGCGATTGTGTAGTGTAGGGCCTGGTTCCTATAAGGGAACACAATCCACTTTAAAATTATTGTACAGGTAAACCAAACTAGTTGGCGACATTCTCAATACACAGGTAGGGGGCCTAGGCCTGTGTCATAGATAGAGGGCAGGGTTTTGATTTTTTGATGGAAATGTGGAGGTAAAATGACGATGACAGCGCGGCAACAACACATCACCCGAAAATAAAGATAGCGATCACATTTCCCAACATTTTTGCAATGACTGACCTTAGCTTCGTTGATCATGTTGATTGAGATATGACAACGTATCCTAATGAAGAAATAGAAAGTGGCGTCAGGATGCAAATTGCAATATTCTGTCAATAATAATTTGAATAAAACACTTTGAAATGTTTACTTCTTACTTGTATCCATTTCAGCATGGACCTAGCAAAGTTTCGTTTGACCGCAACACTCCAGCCGACCGTGACATCCAGCCCCCCTGTACCAGGATTTCTCCCTGGACCTGCCGGTCCCTCGCCTCCAATCGCCGGCCACGCTACGGTCGGTGTCACGCTGCCTTTCTCCTCGTCTCCGGTTATTCCCGTGACAAGAATCGGTGAAGCCGGCTGACATTTCTCCGGCAATTCTTTCTCGGCGTACACAGTCACAAGGACAGCGAGGGATACCTTGTGCGGCGTCACCCATTCCATCGGCCTGGGAAGATTTCCAGAACCAAAATTCATCCCTCCGATGATCAGATGATGATTTTATTGAGTTTTATTTTCAATCAGAATGTGATATTATTGAAATCCTCCCGCTTTGTACATGATGTACAGAAGACAGGTTCCCTGAACCATGCATAGCTCCATTGATAAAAAACGGAGCGATTTTACAGCACCAGTCTAGTAGTATTACGCCAGCTTGAAATCGCGCCCTCATTATAGGTGGGAAGGGGAGGGGGCCGGGGCGGGTCTTTCATTTTACAAGCTGAAGTCTGCGCCTAGATCGAGAGAACAGGGTCGTCAATCGCTTCTCAAAAGTGGGGGAAAAACCTTGATCAGAACTAATGCGAGCGCGAAGTACGAAGCCCTTACGGCGTCGGGTTCGGGGCCCGCTTAAGGGCCCTGAAAAAAAAAATAGATTCTAGATGCTCTGTAGTGTGGTGTATGTGATCTGAAGCAATTTCTTACCACTTTTCTCCAAGCTTTAACTAATATTTTCGTAGTAAAAAAAATGGATTCTAAATGCTCTGTGGTGCTATCTGAGGCAATTTCTGACCACTTTAACCAATATTTTTTTAAGCAAAAGATACATTGAAGTACATAGGGCCTGTAAATGGGACACCAGTTCAAAAATCTAGGGGGGGGGGGGACATTTGATATTGTGTCCCCCACCCTTCAAAAAGTCCCCCCCCCCCCCAGGATTGACGCCCATGTCCCAGGTGGCGCTATTGAACGTTGTGATGATATAAGTGGACCAGATCTTGGCTGAACGCGTTTTGACTAAAAATGCAGTGTTCAACATAATTTTGGCGAGGGAAAATCAGTGTTTTATTCAGTTTTTCTTTCATTTTCTGAAAGAATATTGAAGGGTCATACTGTAGGAACTAAGGTAAACTCTGTCGAATAATGTAGTGGCAGCGATAGATAAGAAAAAGGGCCTGTTTTCGCCGTGTTCTCTCAAAGAGGTTGCAAATGAAAACCTGCCCGTTGGGTTAGTTCCCCAAAGGAATCCATATGTAAACGAAAACACCTGAAGCCGAATTGTCGGTAATCTCAAGCAACAGCGATCATAATTTAGTTTTCAACGTTTGAACGATCATAATTTAGATCATTATAATGATCTAAACTATGATCTAAATTAATGCATTAATAGTTTTATTACCAGTACTAGCTAGTTGCTGGTCGGAGTAATCCCAAAGTACTAATACTCAATGTTTTCAAGGTCTTTGCGGGGTTGCAAAAATCTGCACGCTATTTTGAAAGTGTTTGTTCGGAGTTGGCTAATACTAGGTTAACAATTAATGTGGTCAATATCACTGAAACAATCATTTCAAGACGAACAAAATGTTCTATACCTTCAGCATGAAAACCTATGAAATTTCCCAAAATATCATATTTCATGATGTATTGCCAATAAACATTTCCGGAAAGACATGATAACCTATCGGGGGGAAAAATCAATTTCTCTTCAAATTACAGGAACAAATAGCGCTTTCAAGGACCAACAACTGCACATCGATCACTTGAATTTACAACTCACATCTAGCAACTTCGCACTTTGTTAAAACCTAGTCTTGCCGTGAAATATATTTTTCAAAAAACAGCAACGACCTGACACGACTTATTTTCGGGAGGTTGTCGGACAATTGTTCTCCATAATGAGCATGAATAGGACAGTCTGCGTGAAAATTTGCTTTCCGAAAATTACCAATGCATCTTCACTGTCAGATTTTCCGCCGTCACCGCAAAATCTACTTTAGTCAGAAAGAAATCGTCGTCTCAACTATCCATTTTGACGTATGTGGCGATACACATGCTAAACACGCCAAGAAACAATGTTGCAACCTGACGCCACTTCGGCACTTGTGTACAACGTTTATGGAGAGTCATTTCAAGTATTTCCTAACAATTTTGGAAACATTTATCAGTCCCAGATCCGTGTCTTATTATCAATTTTGCAACAAATGGCCTTCATAGAGATGATATATGAAGAAAAAAGTGGCGTCAGGTTGCAGCATTCCTTCTTATTCTTCTGTTGACGCAATGGTTAAGTCGAAGAATACACTCGCAAGTGTGGATTCTTAATTTACGAATTCACTCGGCGCTTCGCACCTCGTGAATTCTTAAATTACGAATGACACTTTCTCGTGTATTCTCCTTAACCGAATCCACACTTTGTGACCAGTGTAAGAGATTCGTAGATCCGAATCCACACATTTAACAATAGTGTGACGTCATAGCAATGGTTTAATAACTAAAAAGTCGGCGACGATCATCGTGTTCAAAGGCCACTTGTAAGTTGAATGGTCCAGGCGTTTGGTCACAGTGCTGTAGCTATGGACATTCCTGATGGATTGAAATGGGTCAAAATGTAAATCACCCAAGAGTTCTGATCCCTTCCGTTCATATCTGCATGATCAGACGTTTGACCAGAGATTAGGGCTCCGTGGACAACGGGTGATGCTAGCTAGGACTAGTCGGGGAGCGGAATCCGTGCAGATAACGCGTGTATCAAAAATTTGGTTTCTTTATGCTGAATATTCTGCTCGCGAGAAATAAAAAACAAAGCAAGGACGCTCATTGCATTACTAAACAGGTATATTTTAAAATCAAAATGGGGCGAGGTTCGTGAATTATGTAACATAGTTGAAAGGTAACTCAGATATGCAAATTAGGTGCGCGGGAATTTCTTTGTTCGGGTTCGCTTATGTTTTGCATCATAACGGCCTTCAATTTCGGTGTCCTTTTACAAAAATCAAAACGAGCTGTAACAGGTAAATGATGTGGCCATGAGTAGTTTTATTCCTTTGTGTAAATTATCTTTCGATTACAAAAATTTCGGTAAAGGGCCCATAAAATGTATTTTTTTAACGCAATTCTTCAAAATGCACCTTTGTGTCACATTTAACCTTATTTTCAATTTTCATTTTGCCGTTTGAATGGGTATTTGGTGCTTTTTGAATTTTATGCTAATGCAAATTTCCATATTCATGAGCAAAAGTGTGATGTCATATCAGGCAGAAACCTGAATGTTGCGTGCACAAAAAGTTGCCACAATGTTGGGTATTTCGCTGTCGTGTTAAAGTTTCTTTTCTTTGGTGATTCGTTGTTGTGTCAGTTCATGGCAGTAAGCCAATGAGCAAACTTTTCTCACAAATGTTTTCAATGAGCAATGTTTTGGGTTCACAATTTCAACAGAAAAAACACCTTATTATGAACACTGTCTTTAACACTGAAATGACATCACGGCAACAGCGCCTTCGGTTGTCTGTAAAAGCATGGGAAATTTGAAATGATTAAAAAAGTGCACTCTTCAGTAAAATTAACAAAAAACAGATGTCAATTAGTTTTTTTATAGAGGATTAGAAAGTAGCACAAAATTATTTCCTAAGAAATATTCACTTCATGGGCCCTTTATACACTCATGCAGAAGCAGTACATTTACACAAAATCAAGCCGCATTTTACCTATAGCGCAAAAAGTGCATTAAACTACATTCATAAATACCTCAGACAGTTTAGCCATTCCTATTGGTCGAGAGCCCGTCACGTGACCGGTCTTAAACGGATGATAAAGACATGGCTAGCTGGTCTTAAACACTTTTCCAGTGTCACAATAAAATGTGGACTCCTAAAAATCCAGTGCCTCTTACCGTTTCATTGGTTGAACGTTCACAATCCTCACGTAGGCATGCGCAACACTACAAGCGAGTCAGAATTTTATAGTTCTAAATTCAAAACGCAACGCCCCAGGTGCGTTCTGCACGACATCGCGCAGAACATGTTACGCGCGCGTCAATCTCCATAAAAGGGTTGTTTACATCTTACTCGCCAGCTGAACACTCCATTATTTTGCTAGAGGGATGTTTCAAAAAGCATGAAGTGAACTTGTTGAACAAAATCGGGATTTTTTGAACGAATTATTTGATATTTTTTTACGGATAAGGTATTTATGAATGGGAATAAATATGTGCTCGGTCGGTATTTATCACTCTGTTTAATACCGCTTAGAGTCTGGGTGCTGATAATTACCCTCGCCTCCGGCTCGGGTAATTATCAGCACCCAGACTCTAAGCGGTATTAAACAGAGTGATAAAAACCTCTCGAGCACACATTTATTCCCTTAATAATTGTATATACCTTAAGTGCACAGAGCCAGTATTAAGACAAAGTAACATAAGACAAATTAAGCATTTTACCCATTATGGAGTTGCTAATATCCATGTAGGCCCCTATAATTAACAAAACAAAATGTATTTCAATGTTTCATTTAACATCCATTCTTCCATTGTTAAACTGGTATAAAGAAAATCGTCTTGCAAGGGTCTGGTAGTGTAATATTTATCATATATAAGATGATATTGATAGAGTGTTTCTTTACCACTGACAGGGTTTTTGTTCAGTGTAATTTGGGCCTTTCGTTTAAAAGTAACGGTAAAGCCTGTAAAGACAGTCCAAAATTGTTTGGGCCACATTTTAGATTATCTGGTAGCTCAATAAAACTACAAGGCATTCACATACCTTCTTGGTATAAGTGAATGCCTTTCATTAGATAACAGACAATCTGAAAAGTGGCCCAACTTGGAATTCAAGTCCTTTCAATTGATAAGTTGTATCTCTCGACTCGGGTGTCCAAACGAGATGGGATTAACACCACTGTGTAGAGTTTTTACTATACCTTTAGACTCTACAGGGAAAGTCAATAAAGACGAAACCCATATGTCGGGACTATTGTTTTATTGAAGTTCTGCATGTAGCACTCTCAAAATCTAGGATATGAAAGCCCAATTTATAAGCTTTCTTTCAGTACAAAAATCATTCAAATCACTCACGTACTTTTCAATTTACGGAATTGTAAACACAACCTCCATTTTAAAGTTCTGTCCACGGATCACAAAAAAAGCGTGCGTTTTTTTTCAGCAAAACGAAAAACTATTCACACACATCCCTGTAATGATTTGTTTTCGTTTTGCTGAAAGAACACTTCCCTTTTGGTGATCCGTGGATAGAACTTTAAAACAGTGTTTGTGTTTAAAAGTCCGTAACTTAAAAAAGTACAAAAGTGATTTGAATGATTCTACTAAAAAAGCTCATGAATTGAGCTTTCGTATCTCAGATTTTGAAAGTGCTACGTGCAGAACTTTACTAAAACAATGGTCCCGACATTTGGGTTTGTTTTTGGTTTCGTTCGTTTGCTAATTTTTTGTTTTAATATTTATGGATTGACTGTTATAGTTGTATTGACACACGCTGTATAAAAAATGCAGTCAAAATAATGTTCAGATATTTAATTACAACACTAAAAAAGACCATTAACTCCACTCAAATTAAGACAAATATAAAAAACCTAACACCTAGATAGCTATGTGCTTCTATTATTTACAAATGGCACTTAAAAATGGCGAGTTGTATTGAAGCGCTAAAATCTATTGTGTTAATTCATTTCAGCTATTAACACTCCTTATATTGCTCAAACTCCATGTTCAGTTTGCCGTCTAGATAAACAAAAGTTATACATGTACATGTATATTGGATTTAACATTCTGCCTTTATAGGGAAGATACAACATTTGCAAACATCAAAAAACGAAACGATCTCATTATCACAAAATACCTTACCTGATCATTAGGTAATGACAGTCAAAAGCATCCTGTAAAATCGTTGCTTCTGGTGTGCTGACATTTTCAAGAAAAATTGTAGACCTTGTGTGTTTCCAACGCTGCTCGGCCGACCAGCATTGGAGGAGAAAACTGGCTTTTTTTCAAAAATTTCTAGTTTTTTTTCAAATTGAGTTATTTCGCATTTTCTTAGCAATTGATCACAAAGCTGTAAAGCCTGCTAGACTGACTATCTAACCTTATACAATTCCCCAAAGTCTATAAATTGCTATGTTTCATCGTAAGTGGGGTAGGGGAACCAGACTACAAGAACGTGATTGTTTTTTTTTTCCAGCATCTACTAGCCCAAAACGTGAAACAAGTCAGTTTAACAATATTTGCTATGGCATAATAATCATTCAAATCCATCATATTTCTGAAAAATGCAGCAAAAGCAAATGTTGTACTTTCCCTTTAACAAGAGTCTTACACTGCAATATTGATTTTCACAATTAATATATAGGCTAGATAGTATAAAAAAATCAAGCTGCATTTTACCTTAGTGCATTCCGCTGTAAAAAATGTATTAAACTTCAACATTAACCTTAAAATTAATACAGATTATTAAATTGTGTATACACCTTGAATGCACAGAGCCAGTTTATTAAAAAGTAACATAAGAAAAACAAGGCATTTTACCCATAATTTATAATAAGGTGGTAATATACAGGGCGAGTCAAAAAGCAAGTTACCGAAATTAATTTTTTTTTTATATTCAGAAGCAATTAAATTTGAAACATCAATTTCCACTAATCTAAAAAAAAAAAGACTTACTGAAATTTATCCATGCTATCAAAAGTAATGCACGTTTTACTAAAAGAACCAATTTGTATAGCTGTCCATGGAATGTCATTAGAAGCTATTGAGCTGGGCGAATATTACGGATTACAAGCTTACGTTTCATTGTAGTCAATATATGCATTCATCGGTTCGTAGAATGGTAAATGATCAGTGGTGGACAGCCGAGTTTTGTGGTCTTTTTCTTGACATAGACATTAGCTGGAAATTGAGTACGTAAACTACGTAAAATGTTTACAGTTAAAAAGTCAATAAGATGGACTTTATCCCCATTTTTTTTAAAATGTGAAATGGAGCTAGCCAAATATTTGTAAAATATTGTTCAAATTGGGCAATTTTCTTTTTGACTCACCCTGCACATTTATAATTAACAAAATAAAATGTACTTCAATGTTTACTAAACATCCCTTCATCCATGATTAAACTGTTACAAAGAATATCGTCTTGTTGAGTAGGCGCCGGCACAGGGTCTAGTAGTGGCCGTAACTTGCAGGATTGCGCCAATCTTGATCTCCGAAGTGTTCCATTGGCTGAAATGAAATTCAGATATTAGGTATAATTTGGTTTGTGACTTGATTAATTAATTTGGTTCATGAGGTTTCAGGCTTTTTACCAAATATTAAGACAGTTAAAGGCATGGGTGTTGCCAGGTTTTTTTTCAAGGGGGGAGGGAGCAAATTTTACCCCCAAAATTCCTGAACTTTTTCAGTATATTCTCAATTTATCATTTTTCTGAGCCTGTGCAGGGGAGCATTTGCCTTTCCCCATCAAATTAACAGAAATATGGCTTTGCACCTCATTTTATTATATTTTTTCTTTTTTCCTTTTCCCCCTGTTTTCCAGGGTGGAGGGGGCAAGCGCCCCCCCCCTCCCCCGCAACATCCATGTTAAACGGTTCGAGGTACTAGTTGTAAAGGGCCGGCAAACAGCCCTTATTTTGACCTGTTAAAATTCCTTAAAACTCTAGGTACGGTATAGCTTATTTGAGGTTAAATGAATATAGTGGGGCAGTACCTTTGATGATACAATTCGGCAAATAGATATTTGGCTATAGGGCCGATGCAGATTTGTCCTTTTTGAATAACAAGTATTATGGCAGCCATTTTGAAAATTTTGAAAATTGCTTGTCATTCTACCAACAAATAAGCGATGGCCTTAGCTTGTAGCCAAATATCTTTTTAAGACATTCTTTGACTTTGTGCCAAATTCCATGCTTGTATCATCAAAGCTACAATCCCATCACCTATCTGCCGTACTGACGTGAGGTGCTGTTGTCCAATGGTTACGATGTTCGACTCATGTACCGTGGTACATGGGTTCGAATCCTGACCATGGGAACAGGGTGCTTGTACTCTTGAGCAAGGCACTTTACCATTATTGCTTCATCCTTCGGATGGGACGTAAAGCCGCAGGTCCTGCGAGTTGTCACATGCACGTTAAAGAACACAGTAACACTTATCACTAAGAAAAGGGGTTTGCCCCGGTGTTTCTGGCAGTGCCAGCAATATGCGCTGCAGCACCTTGAAACCATTATAAGATGCAACATAACAGGTCTTATATTTCTAAAAACAACTTCATTTACCTTTCTTTAATAATATACATAATCTCCAGCAGCTTGAGTACCTAATTGTTAGTATACGTGCCCTGTAAGACTTTGATATTATTACAATTATTATTAACAGTGGAATTCAATTTCAACGGGAAAAAAATGTGGCTCAGTGTTTAATGTGTGCCATTGGGGTGAACGTAAAGATTCGAAATTGTTCAAATTTGACGCTCCGTCAAATCGAAAGAATGTTATTGAGTTAATCTGAGAGACAGGTGCAGCGATTTCTAATTACTCGAATCTCATGTCGTAGTGGTTATACTGCACCGCACAGTGGATACTGAATGGCTGCAAAAAGTGCGAAAGGCTGATGCGAACGCTTGCAGATAAAATGTATCACTGAGAAATGCGTTTGTCTCTCACCCCTTGGAATTCACGCAGCTGCATCTCCTCAAAGCCTAATACCACGTATGGTGTCATGAAGTGACTGCGTCGTTCGGGTGGAATCTGTATGGAGAGAGATTTCAAGCTGTCAACTTCTGTCATGGAGTAATATTGATTCACTCACTGATCACGACTTTCACTTTACCGTGTCACCTTTAAAATGAAAACAAATATTTTAAAGCAAGTCGGTTTCGAAGAGATAATCCGGCAATTTTCGAACAATCGATCTTTCCAAAGAAGCCTGAAAAATGATCAGACAACTTTCCATAATCTGACATACTCATGTCCTCCTAAACCAACAAACATTGGTTGGTTACCTAAATAAAAAGAGAAACAAACATGGTGACCATGCAGTGACAAACCACGTTTGATCATCATGACGTCACATGTTATTGCCCTTATTATTTTAATAGGTGCATCAGACGATGAAAACATCTACTCATTTGCGCAAAAGTATTCCTCGGTTATGTGCTATACTATTCCGCACTCTGTATTCAAGAACTGTTGAATTTCAATATGAATCTAGGAGCCAGATTTTGAAAGTTCCTGGATGTTCGCGTCATCTATACCCGGATATTTGATGTGACAAAATATAACAAAATAAAGAAGATGTCGGTTCTGTCTCCACCTATGGCGACTGTTAAGAGTAGGGCCCCTACTATCCTCAGGCTACTTTGACAAATAACGGATGGCGGCTGTATAGAAGTTAAGACAAAAGGCCGCATCATAAGTGGACAGTGCCGAACTGTAGTTTGTGAGGTAATGCTACTTCAAATGGTAGATACGAAATGCAACGGGCATCGGACCCGGCTAGATTAAACAGAAACATTACCTAACAAAGTATCAAAAGTAATGATTTCTAATATTACCTGCTGCAGTTGGGGCACGTAGCTGCTTGCTTCATGCCTAGCCCTAGCAGAAAATCTTGTGCTCTGGTCACGTTGCGACGCGGTGGGGAAGACGGCAATAACGGTACCGTCCTCATCCCTCCAGACCCGCCGATTGAAATCTGGTCTCACATCAGCAGAGTGACGGTAGGGCGACTTGAATGCGGCATTACGACGCCTCAGTAGAACACACGGGAATACCAGGATGAGCAAGCCGACCACTGGTACCACCACCAAAACTACGATGATCAAGATGGCTGGTAAGACACCTGAAACAGAATGTAGTAAGTGAAAGATAGGGTGAAGTATTGTTTTACGCTGATTAACAGAATATGTTCACCGTCCAAACAAAACGGGTTACCAGCCCAAATGCTCAGTGATGTTGCGGCCTATTGCACCCTCCACTGACCAATAGTGCCCTTAAATAAAGTCCGGTTTGCCTTATTTTTTTAATTACTCCGATATTTATCTGCCCCCTCCAATCAAAGGAAGTCATATTTCGGAAGTTTCTCATTCAAACAGAGAAAATTACGTGGTGAGTACTGCTTTAGCCTGCGTTGAACTATTGACCCTGGAAATCCTAACCAAACACAAGCTACCCTGACAAGAACCACTTGTTTGTGGAGCGCTGTGGTCATTTGTATTATTTGTGATAAGATCATTATAGTGAGTCTAGCCGGCGTCGCCGCAGAGCATGGATAATCAATCATCCTGTCAAAAAGACCAATCAGCAAGCTCAAATGACGGCTGCTGTCTAGTTGTGACTAAACGAGTTGTCTCACCACTATCACACACCAAATTGATAGACAACACACGGTAGCGTGGGTTTGGACCCTATTCCCTATACATTCAAACGTGTACGTAGTTTACAGTATCCGCTCCGTTCACAAGGACCCCCTCATCGGCAACGAGAGTACAGTTGGGGGTGACCGACTGACGTCATCTTGCCTGACTGCAATTCAGTTGCTGCGAAGTGCGACCCCTGCGTGTACATAGAACAAATCCCCTGGTGTACGCGCGTCACACACAAGGAACAGTGCGCGTCAACCAGTGAAATGTCCAGCCCATGGGACGTCGTTGCTAGGTAAAAGGGCGCCCTCCTTTCGTAGCGCATGGAGCTCATACCAGAATCGGGTGTAAAACAGGTGATAGCAATTAAGGCTCAAATTTCTCATCGTATTTTAATTTTGCATGTAAATTGCTCGGCAATAAGTATGTTTTTGCACGTAGGTATATGAACTTGGGCCCTGCATGGTCAATTTGAGAGGTTTTTTTTTGAAGAATCACCACCAAACTGATACCCACCTTGACCAGGCGTTTCGGTTGGTGCGTCCGTGCGGGGAGCTGTTGGTACGACTCCCATGATGCTGTCATTACAGCGCTCACCAGTGAAGGAAGTACTGCATCTGTACTCAATTGAAACGTACAAACGCAAAACTTACATTACATCTATGATAATGGTAAGAAAAGAACATCGCTTCAAAAGGCTAGTAAATGTGTAGGTCTGATTTATCAGTCCACCCCTACGAGCCACACCCATGATCCCGGTATACTGATGATACTTTATGATAGATATACGCACCTGCAGGTAAGGGTAAACATTGGGTAGAGTCCAACTACGTCACACGTTCCACCGTTTGCACAGTAATTCATGGGGCAGGTTGAGGTTGTTTCTGTAAACAGAAATCATAAATTAAGACTCGTTTAGACATTATCGTGAACACGTTTTCTTTGCATTAACATCATACATCGATAGTTTTTCTTAAGAAAAATATTTTCTTAAGAGGAATATTTGCATACATGCTCTCATTGCACAAACACCACCCTCAACAGTTACGAGTAATGCAAAACCTTTCCGTCCATGAAAGAAACTTCCCTGGTATGTAATGACTCTGAACCGAAAATGACTATGGCACCCATGTACCAGCGAGGTGAGAGATATCTTTTCTAGACTTAATTATTTCCTCCTTTCAAATCCCGGGAACCCGTTTTATTCTTTCATTTAAGCTCCGCAGTGTAAGTCCGTAGATAAATTCAATCTCATTGCAGGTTTAACGTACGTTCTGTGGTGACATATTGTGTGTCCACTGCCAGCGAGGCCGATTCCCCCTGAAGTGTACTTTGAGACTGCAGAACGCTCTGTATGGTCTGCACAGATGGCACGACCAGTGCCGTGTCGGTGTTATCGTACAAAGCCACAAACTCGACAATGATGCTTCCTCCGCTGAGGATACTGATGCCAGTAACATCACGGACGGCAGAGGTCAGTGGATTTCGTTTCAGAATAAAGAGCAGCTAAACGAAGTAGGATAGAACGATAAAATTGAGGAAATATATGGCGGAAAACTTTCAGGAAAGCTTTTCTTAGAAGTGATTTTTGGTCTAAGTGTTTCCAACATTCACTCGTTTGTAATCATCATAACCATTTTCGCAAATCATGCGAATAAATAAGGAAATCAAGCAGACAAAAGAAACTGAAATCTAACTATATTTTGCTAGACTATTTAGGAGATGTCAGTGAAAACAATATCTTGTCAGTGCTGAGACAAGTAAAAACTAATTTTTAGAATAAATTCAGTTGGAAAGAATCACTTACTATTTCAAGGATGATACGAAGGGCTTCTTTACTGGCAGACGAGGTGGGATTACTGAACACAGGCAGAAAGATGACGGCGACTCCGTTGATACCCAAAACCCTGAGTCTGAACACGAGTGCAATATATCCTACGAAAGACAATGAGGATATCACACTATTTCACTGCTTTGATAAAATGGCATGAATTAGTTAAGTACACACTAACGCTCAATGAAAATGATCTCATTGGACCGTCGTACACAAACAATTACGTGCAACTCTCTTTGAGTGAGTCGGACTTATATTCGATGAAGTTCTCACTTGTACAGGATCCACCATCTTCCGCGAGATATCCAAGTAAGGCATCGCAAACACAGTCATAGCCAACGGGGTTGAAGATGTTTGCCACGCAGTACATCCCCTCCGCAGGGCAGAGGGTTAGATCAAAACATGGGTTGGGAACTGAAAGAAATGAAAAACTACATGATTACATAATACAAAAGAATCGTATTAAATTCAACCGGCATTTTGATGACAAAACGGTCTTAATCAAAACATTCAGGTTTGAATTTGAGGTTAAAAGTCTGTTCATTTTCGAAAGTTTCAAAGTCGCAGCTAGAGTATGTGGTTTGAAGATAGCATGTCCCATCTCATTCTCCATATTTAAAATATACCCTTGTCTTTGATGACAATTGCATAGTATCTTTAAGACATATTGACCCATGTCTAAATCTTGCTTTGCTAAAATAGACTCACTCTCAGATTGTTAACTCTCAAATCGTAAAGGAGACATGTGGCAACAAAAATAAAAATTCACAAACACTGATATTAATATAATTCCAAAAACTTCAATCTGTTTTTAAAACGAAGTTGAAGAAATGTATAACAAAACATTCTTTAGTTTAAGTTTCCAACTAACTCTTATAGCACAAAAAGGTAAACATTCAAACTTTAATGTTATTTTTTCAAACTCTCATTGTTCGAAGTAGGGAGTTCTGCCATCCAAGAGCTGCAATGCAGACTACTAGACACCAGCCATTCACTCCATGAAATTGATCGATGTCAATTACTGACATGGACTGTGACTTCATCTTACCTTGACAGGTTCTCCCAGATACAGACATCGGGCATACGCACTCACAGTGATCTTCATCAAATGTTCCTTGCTGACAACTTGATTCTGTCAACTCACAGACTGAAAACAAAATAAACGTTTCGGATTACGATTCGTGAGAGTGTTTTTGGTGCCTCCGTTTTGACGCAATATAACCTGGTTGTGGAAACACTAGCGCGTAACAGGTGAAATTATGTCTTGTGGTACAGACCGCGTTTTTTTTTTCTGCAGCATACATCGTTTTTTAATCAATCACATCACACACCCTAACATGAATATTTGTCACAATGTGTGGATGGAGGGACACTTAGGTTCTCGTAGTGTTTTCCCTTCAATGAAACTTATCCCAACCAACAAAAAATATTGATGGAAATGGCCACGGCTTCGAACCACAGATCTTGCAATCTATAGTTCATTCCACTATCCACTAGGCCACTGTGCTCGACGAAAGCCGTTCTTTGAAATGCTTTATTGTACATGCATGACTGACTGATAGCCATGGTGTGACGTCATTGGGTTTTTTATGAATTAACATCGAACTTTAGCTGAATGATCATGATCCATTGACGATGTGTGCTGCAAATATAAACACTGTACTGACACACGTTTACCCAATGGGAAGTTACTTAAACATATAGGCTCCGTCGATATATTGATACTACTCGAATACTGGACATATCGATTTTACAACAAGCAAAAGGACACGTTTTTGTTTGAATAACAAGAGGATATAGGCCACTAAACAGCCGCTAATCAAATACTTACATGTCGTGACAAGTTAGTTGATTAGCGGCTGTTAAAAACAAATGTGCAGCTCTCTGCATTTGTATTTTCATACAGCATGTACCTTTTGCAATTACCCTATGTTTAATTTGATCTGTGCAGTATACTATTAGTTTGTGATTCCCATATAGATTGGCCTATTCTTACAAATAATAAAAGAATATTAAAATCAACCAAAAACATGTAAAGACCCGTAAAGAACACCTGTACAAAGTAAAGGTTAACTTTTATTGTTGACATATAATATCACTCACATTCTGTTTCTGAAGTGGTGGTTGGTTCTGAAGTGGTGGTTGGTCCTGGAGTGGTGGTTGGTTCTGGAGTGGAGGTTGGATCTGGAGCGGTGGTTGGTTCTCGAGTGGTGGTTGGTTCTGGAGTGGAGGTTGGTTCTGGAGTGGCGGTTGGTTCTGGAGTGGAGGTTGGTTCTGAATTGGTGGTTGGTTCTGAATTGGTGGTTGGTTCTGGAGTGGTGGTTAGTTCTGGAGTGGAGGTTGGTTCTGGAGTGGAGGTTGGTTCTGGAGTGGAGGTTGGTTCTGGAGTGGAGGTTGGTTCTGGAGTGGTGGTTGGTTCTGGAGTGATGATTGGTTCTGGAGTGGAGTTTGGTTCTGGCTTGGAGGTTGGTTCTGGAGTGGTGGTTGGTTCTGGAGTGGTGGTTGGTTCTGGAGTGATGGTTGGTTCTGGAGTGGAGTTTGGTTCTGGAGTGGAGGTTGGTTCTGGCGAGGAGGTTGGTTCTTGAGTGGTTGGTTCTGGAGCGGTAGTTGGTTCTGGAGTGATGGTTGGTTCTGGAGTGGTGGTTGGTTCTGGAGTGGAGGTTGGTTCTGGAGTGGAGGTTGGTTCTGGAGTGGAGGTTGGTTCTTGAGTTGTGGTTGGTTCCGGAGAGGTGGTTGGTTCTGAAGTGGTGGTTGGTTCTGGAGTGGAGTTTAGTTCTGGAGTGGAGGTTGGTTCTGGCGTGGAGGTTGGTTCTGGAGTGGAGTTTGGTTCTGGAGTGGAGGTTGGTTCTGGAGTGGAGGTTGGTTCTGGAGCGGTGGTTGGTTCTAGAGTGGTGGTGGCAGTTATAAAAAGAAAAAGGTGCTGGAAAGTATGTGATAGCGATTGTTATTTTGATCATGTCCTTTAATAGGTTTTTAAAAATGCATTGTATCTTTGTCATCTAGGATGATTCCTCCTTTTCAAAAAAAATGTTTAACTACTGTACAGTGTCAAGAGGTCATTTCCTTATGTGTACCCAGCGAACACAGAACTCCCCTCGACAAAAAAATAATTATAATATAAATTATACACTTTTATGGAACGACATCATTGGAAATATAAATTTATTCTGTTATTGGGCTGATTCCCGATCACTTTTTGTTTTTGAATGTATGATTTCTTCTTCTTTTTTTTGGACAAAAACTCTCAGCAAGGCCTTTCATCTATTAAAATGGTAAGTTAAAGGGAATGTACATCATTGGCTATCGCTGTAATTTTCAGAAATGAACTAGTTGAGGGGTTAGTATAATAGAACAAAATATTGTTACACTGACATGTTTGAAGTGTTGTGTCCGAAAATGCTGGAAAAACCAAGAAAAACAAAACAATTCAAGTAGTCTGGTTCCCTGACTCCACTAAAGATTAAATTGATCAATTTTCATCTATTAAAATGGTAAGTTGAAGGGAATGTACATCATTGGCTATCGCTGTAATTTTCAGAAATGAACTAGTTGAGGGGTTAGTATAATAGAACAAAATATTGTTACACTGACATGTTTGAAGTGTTGTGTCCGAAAATGCTGGAAAAACCAAGAAAAACAAAACAATTCAAGTAGTCTGGTTCCCTGACTCCACTAAAGATTAAATTGATCAATTTTTAGATGCCAGAAATTGTAAGGTAAAGGAACCAATCTAGCTGGCCTGCACCCGTTCATGAACATGTAATCAATAGCAACTTACACAATTTGGACTGAAACAAATGGTAAATTTGGAGCAGTAGTTGAAATATAGTCAGGTTTTTCCAACGGTGGTCGGCCGACCACCGTTGGAAATTTATACAAAAATACCATTTTCTCGAAAATGTCTTCACACCAGGTACCGTAGTTTTACACGATGCTTTAGACTGTCATTTACCAACATACTAGTAAGGTTTTTCGTAAAAACTTGGTAGTTTTATTTGTCGATGTTTGCAAATGTTGTATTTTCCCTTTAAAACAAACACAACTTCTGCTTCCAATTACATGCATTTCAAAACATCTTAAGGTCGATAAGTCCACGGAGGAGTACGAGGGCAAATTATTTTGTTATTTTGCATTTTTTTGGTGCTGATTGAATGGACTATATTCACTTCATGTGTATACATATTTTCGGCCAAATTTATTTTCTTTTGCACTATGAAAGCTATCGATATCAAAACCGGCCCTCAAACGTGATAAACACTTGCCTAAATTAAAGTTTTAAAAATATGTAAGGTTGACCATACACAAAACGAAATTATGCGCACACATGTAGTCACAAAGGGATAACGTATCCGTATATTATTATATATTGTGACAAAAATCAGCTTTCCCTTTTAAATAATCTTTCCGTACTAGAGAATAGTCTGGTTTCCTGAACATGAATCTCGTACGATAGAATGGAAATGAAACTTGTTGATTTTAGGCCATTTTCAGACCTCAAAACCAACTTAAATCACCTACTAAACTTACCAAATATTCGTAGTATTTATAGAATAATTCCATAATGATGTGAAGAAGCCATTAACCTTGCTTTACACTATTGTTTCTTTCCGGTACTTATGCAAGTTTGATAACGTTCAAGGCAATTGACGTATGTGCACAGTGTTATTGAATGCACCCATTGTTTGTGTGTTATTGACTTCTGCACACAGGTTAATGATGTACTTTACTAATAGTCTAGCGGATATGTGACAAAATATCGATGAATTGTGCACTTTTGAATAAAAGCGTGAAACTTGGCACAGATGTTTATATTCATGCGAGAAAATGTTTTAGATGTGGAGCCATCGCAAATTTACCCTTTTAGGGGCGTGGCATCCATTTAAAAAAAGGGGGCGGGACTTGTCGTGCCCGCAGTGAAAATGTTTTTTCCCACTTGTTACAAAAGCAGGAAACTTCACAAAGACATGTGGGCACCTTTTTTTCCATGTTGGGCATAATGAGAACCCTGCCCCCCTTTTTTTCAATATGGCTGCCACGCCCCTAAAAGGGTGTGTTCGAGATGGCTCCACATCTGGAATTTTTTTTCTCATGAATGTCAATGTTTGTGGAAAGTTCCATTTTCTCTATGAGTGTGGGAACAATATTTCCAGGGTGGGCATAATGAAAACCCCGCCCCCTTTTTTCTTATATGGTTGCCACGCCCCTAAAGGGTGTGTTCGAGATGGCTCCACATCTGGAATTTTTTTTCTCATGAATATAAACGTCTGTGGGACGTTTTATTCGTTCATGAAATATGGGCACAATGTTTTCCAAAGTGGGCATAATAATTAAAAAACCCCTTTTCTTTTAATGGCTGCCACGCCCCCCAAAAGGTACTATTGTGGTGGCTCCGAATCTGGAAAACACTAATAATCTATATAATTATGTCTTTGTGAAGTTTCCTGCTTTTGTAACAAGTGTGAAAACCGTTTTCACTGCGGGCACGACAAGTCCCGCCCCCTTTTTTTAAATGGATGCCATGCCCCTGAAAGGGTAAATTTGCGATGGCTCCACATCTAAAACATTTGCTCGCATGAATATAAACATCTGTGCCAAGTTTCACACTTTTATGCAAAAGTGCACAATTTTTTCACATATCTGCTGGACTATAGTGCGGAGATTTCATCATCAGGTTTGATGACTCGTTTTGCATACGCGATACGCGCTACGCGCACTTTTAACCTATTGGAACGCGCGCGCTCACTGCGACCCAGATTCAGCCCAGCCAAAAGTGCATAAAAGGCGAGCTGGAACAGCAATCGAGCGCTCTGGTCGCCTCCAGAACAAGCCCTGTGGGAAGAACCAAGCGGATGCCAGGAATCGGAAGAAGAAGAGGAATAAGAAAAAGGGACAAACAAGAGGGAACAAGCAAGAAGATGAAGAAACAAGAGGAATTGAAGAAGTAGCCAGAGGAAGAAGATAAGAAGAGACAAAGCATGAAGAATAATAATACCGATGTCCACACTGAAAAGGAAGCAACGCACAACGGCCAACGACAGCCCATGCATTATGCGCCGTGTACTGTGTGTACATATCCGCGCACAAAGAATGCTTAATTATTAGACTTGCTATCAGTCCAATTTGCGCAATGTGTTTAAGCGGCAGCAATTGGAATGTGCGTATGCAAACTAAAGTGACCCAATCTGATGAAGTGTTTAGTTATTATTATTTGATGGTGATTGATTAAAACAAACAAGAAGTTTGATTGTGAATTATAGCCACTTGTCTTTGCTGCCTGACTGATTTATGTCAGTTATTTATGTCTTTTTAAGTTATCTGCCTCAGAATAAAGGTTTAGGGCAAGACTTTAGGCCAGACTTTGGGGCCAGACTTTTAGGGTCAGACTTTATAGGGAAACTAGAGCCAGACTTTAGGACAAACTCAAATTATATTGCCTTCTCCTCCCCAGCCTTCCCTTTTCTATTGCGTTTGCGCGCCAAGTTATAGTCCAACCCCTCCCCTTACCCTTCCCCTATCCATAAAGTCATCGAGGCCTTGAAGAAAGCTACGCTACCAGGCGAACTCCACTTGGGTCAGGTTGACGTCCTGAGGTTGCGACGGCGCCCTCAACGCTGGTCCCGGCCAAGCACTAGCTCAGCCATACATCACCGATTTCTCCTGGTTATTAATCCCGGCGGGTTTTTAGGGATTCGTTGTACCCCTGGGTACATCGAGCCCCGGATTCCCGTTACAATATTCACAGTAATTAGTGATTTAGTAATTAGAGAAAGATCCAAGCACCTCACTTATTTCAGAGCTCAACTTAAGTATTTAAAGCAATCCCGCTGCACTTCTCACACCTGAGCCTTCTAAAAACGGTCTGACGAGAATCTGATCAAGCAGAGCACTGTTCATCGAGCAAGGGAAAAACCTTTGATGAAACCTGACCGCAATGTCGGAAAAATCTTGGACGGCCTACAGCAAGCATTTTGAACTGTGGCTGGAACTAGCGAGACAAGTTGCAATATTTGGCAGTTTTGCTTAATGGACAGCAGTGGCACGGTTCAGTGACTTTATTCATGAATAAGCATACTACACTCCTCCCCGATATATATATATTTTTCTTTTCTTCTTTTTTTTTAAAGGGGGAGG